TCTACCTCTTCATTGACACTATAGTAAATGTACAATGGATACAAGACAAATCCAACCATGTAGTGTATGGAAAGACATGCAGGCTAATCCTATTGTGAGGCCTACAAATAGGCCTCTGAGATGTCTCAGTGGTCCTCTCCAAAGTAGGCAAAGTCAGCTGCAGAAAGAGAAGTCACCTCGGGTGGTGCGTGGTTGACGCCCTCGGTAAAACGAATTTGTGCACGACGACAAACAGTGCGAGACTGCTCACGTTGATGGACCAGAGAAATCCGTTTGTAGAAGTTGGTCTCAAACAGCAGGGGAAGGAAATCTGTAGCACCACTCAAGTCACGGAGTTGTGAAGCCCCTTTGCGGCTGCATTGGCGTAGGAAATTGTTGAACGATGAGCCGAAGCAACCGAAGGTTTCGATGACAAGGGGAAACAGTTTGACGTCTGGACGATCACGAAGTGCTGCAGCATAGTGGGTGGTCTTCTCACTTTCACGAGTGGCTGCTGCTGAACCAATCACCGTAGCTGCGTTGGAGTGTGGAAACCCCTTTTGTGGATCAGCAATAGAAACATCCAAGGCCCATGTGGTACCAGAGCTAATGTCGCGGCACGTGATGTCTGTGCGGCGGCCAGGCAGGAGATGCTGGTCTTCCATCTGCGCAGAGAACCCAAGCTCCAAGGCAATGCGATGAACTTCTCGTTTGATTGCGTCGTGCACCTTAGTAGGCTCGTTGTTGCTAGGGCAGCGAAGGACATGAGAATGGATGGAAGGATCGGTGAACGGGGAGTTGCAGGTGCAGGTGAGTGAAGATGAAAGGTGAGGAAGAGGAAGGCCTAAGTGGATAGCTGCTGCAATGCGCCACTCGGTCTCTGAAAGCTGCATGTGCGGGGAGGATGGAGCCACAGTGAGCCAGTCACCTGCATGCGGGCCCTGCAAAGAGGTTAGACGAGCAAGGCGAAGCGGGGACGTTACTGTGGCTCGAACCTTCTCCAGCAAATCGGCTTCGAGGTGTTGGGAGAGGTGAGTAAAGAGTTTAGGAGGGTAGCCCGATTGAAGCACAGGCCATGATGGGAAGCGGTCACGAATGTCTTGGGTAAGCATGGTCATGGTAGATGAGATTGAAGGGTCGAGGAGGTTAATGAAGTCCGTGGTGACGTAAGGGCAGAAAAGAGGAGCACCATTAGTGATGAAGTGGGTGGATAGGTTCGAAACTGCCTGCGCCCAGCTGCAAAGGTAACTGAGGGGGGCGATGGATGCAGAGCTGCGAATGCCGAAGCCACCTAAGCGGATAGGGAGCGAGGCTTGGAGGCGGGCCGATGTGGACTGTTCAGAGGTGGGATTCCAGTACTCGGAGCCCAGGAGCTGAGAGAAGTGGCTGAAAATCGTGCTGTCCCATGAAGAGAGTAGCTCTTGGATTTCGGGAAAAGGTGCGACAGTTCTGAGGAGGAAAGAAGGTCGGGCAGTGATGCATAAGGAAAGGATCCGTGAGGCAATCTGTGGGTCATGCAGTTGATGCAGTAAAGGGAGGAAGGTAGTGAAAGAATCGAGCTTGTCACGAACTGTAGAGATGATGAAACCGTCTGAGCCGGTGGGAACTCCAGCCACAGTGAGACCGTTTGCAGCGATGGAAATACCCGGGGGCGGAATGCAGTGTTCGGGCAAGTCCATAGGGGCCCATAGAGAGCACTTAGAGGGTTGGACAGTAAAGCCAAGAGAGAGAAGGCGGGAGGTAAGGTCATTGTATGCGGAAAAGACGTATGAGGGAGGGCCGACCAAGTAGGTATCGTCTGCGTATGAGGTAACGAAAATTGAGGGAGACTGTTGCTGGGTTGGTTGGATGGCTAGCTGCTGTGTTAGGGCGTAAAGAAAAGGGCCACAAGGGTCGCCTTGACGAACACCAGAAGCTGACTGGAATGTGTGGAGAAGGGGGCCGCTGCGGTAGTGAAGAGGTGAAGGGGTGGAGTAGAATAGGCGGAAGAATGGAATGAGACTAGAGAATGGGGAGCGCCTTAATGCCTCAAACATGGAAACCCGGTTGAATGAGTTGAACGCGTTTGCAACGTCCAGCTGAAGCACCACCCAGTCTGGATGAAGGGAGAAGGCGGAGCACACTGCGTGCGACATAATCTCGATCCCGGCCGGAACTGCTACGCCAAATTGAAGGTGAGGAAGGAATGTCTCTCGCATCTGCTGCTTGAAAAGGAGAGTGATGCAGCGTGAAAGGAGGCGTGGTAGCACTTCCCCAATGGCGATGGGACGTACACCACCATGCGGTTTCTGTAGGGCCACGAGGTTCGAAGCGGTGTAGAAAGGCCTGACTGCAAGTGGAAGATCACCCTGCAGCCAGTTCTGGAATACGTGGAGGAGAGAAGGGAGATGCTGCTGGTGAGAGAGAAACGTGTCCCTGAGGTGCTCAATGAACCACCCAGAAGGTCCAGCAGCTGTGCCACGGGGGGCGGACTGTAGAGCGGCCTGGAGAACAGGGACAGTAAGCTGTGGTGCGGCTGTAGGAGTGAAGCTGTGTACCCAGTCAGGAATTTCTGCTGCAGCAGGTGGGTGCTTGGAGCTGAGGGCAGCAACCGTTTCTGATGATGGAGGAGCTAGCTCGCCAGCTTCCAGTGCTGCCAGTGAACGTGACCAGTCCCCGCATTTCGCAAACCGTTTCGCACGGTTGAGACGAGCCTGCAGCGATGCCATGTGCAGAGGTCTGGCGGCTGGAGTGGCTGCAGCTACGGCTTCACTGAAAAGAGACTGCCAGTCACCATTGATGAAGCGGCGCGCTAAGGAGGCACATGAAGAGGTAAGGGACTGCGTGGGAGCAGCGGCGGATGGTAGGCGCAGCAAGAGACGCGGAAATGCCAAGAGAATGAGGTGTGCAGCGTCGTCAGAAGGATGCTGTGCAAGGCGGCGCAGTGGAATGAGAAGTGCATCGAGAATGAGGAGTCGGATGCGGGAGGGGATTCGGCGGAGAATAGGGCCAGGTGAGACTGCTGGGCTGAAGAAGGAAGGCCAATCCCAGGAAGGAACGGCCTCCCAAGTGGCTTGAGGAATTGCAGGTCGATCTACGGCTGCAGGCGCCGAGGTTGGGGCTGATGAGCGGGGAGGAGGAGGCGGAGCAGCTTGCTGACGTGTGGCGGTGTTGCGAGAGCAGGCTGGAAGGTGACGGGCCAGCGAACCTGAGTTGGCAAAGGTGCGTCGACATGTGGGGCAAGAATTAGGAGGTAGTGGGTTATCGGAGGTTGATGAGGGCGGGCAGGGTTGCGGGCATGGCTGCGTAGCGTGAGGGGTAGGGGAAGGAGGAGGGGGATCTCGAGAAGGTGAAGCAACAGTTTCATAGTGTGATAGTGGGTGCGTGTTATCGGTAGGGGCTGTGGGATCAGGAGCATCTGCTGTAGTCGTTGGTGGAGGTGTTGAGGTAGATGAAAGATGGGCACGGGAAGTCGAGGGCTGAGGGTGAGAGGTTTGAGGCCGTGATGGAGACGGAGAATCAGGAAGGGTGGCTTTAAGGACCTGCTGGAGAATCTCCTTTTGTTTCCCCGAGACAATTTTTGGCGCTGCTGTTGGCTGAGGTTGCTGGGAGGGAGCAGAAGATGATTGAGGCTTAGGAGTAGGGGGTGGTGCAAGGTTTGATGAGGAGGTCGAAAGAATCGCGAAGGCTGGAGTTTGTCGCGAACGGGCAGGCGGACGAGGAGAAGTGGGTTCAGAGTCTTGGGCAGCACGGCCCCTTTTGCGGCCTGTCATTTTGTAAGTTATTGGGCTGGTGGCATGCAAAATGATGTTGGAGGTAAAGGAAGCATAACAAATGAGGTGGAAAGTGTAGTCTTTGTTTCAAGGAAGAAGTTGGTGTAGCGAGGAAGGTCACAAAAAGTGGCTGGGGAGAAGCACAAGCGCGGATGTGAGGTTGGCAAAGTGGCGGGAAGTTGGGTTGGTGGGGGGAGGCGAAAATGCACGTCGGGGGAAGGGGGGGTTCGCAAATCTGTTGTTCGTGCAGCAGGAGGTAGAAACTGATGATGGCACCGTGCTATCTACTGCTGCTCAACACAAAGCTCAAGCCACGCCGTTGCAAGGAAGACTCCACTCTGCGCCGTGCGCTAATTGCTTGCCAGATAAGCCCTAGTTTCGTATCAACGTGCGCCAACACCGACATGGTAGATCCACGATTGTAGTTTCGATCGGCTCGTCGCGTCAAGGGTGTCGCGGATTGCTAGCAAGTCGTGGCTCAAATGTACGAGTATAAAAGAAGATGCAAGGTTGCTGATTTCGCCCTTTAGCGGAGAGTAGTGAGCTTAGCAGCTTTACTTGAGCGAGCAGCTTAGCGAACTACTACGAGGAGCGTACTAGCGCTTTTTATAGGAGCTGCAGCGAGCTTGAGTGACAACGAAGCAAACTACTACGAGGAGCGTACTAGCGCTTTTTATAGGAGCTGCAGCGAGCTTGAGTGACAACGAAGCAAACTACTACGAGGAGCGTACTAGCGCTTTTTATAGGAGCTGCAGCGAGCTTGAGTGACGACGAAGCAAACTACTACGAGGAGCGTACTAGCGCTTTTTATAGGAGCTGCAGCGAGCTTGAGTGACAACGAAGCAAACTACTACGAGGAGCGTACTAGCGCTTTTTATAGGAGCTGCAGCGAGCTTGAGTGACGACGAAGCAAACTACTACGAGGAGCGTACTAGCGCTTTTTATAGGAGCTGCAGCGAGCTTGAGTGACAACGAAGCAAACTACTACGAGGAGCGTACTAGCGCTTTTTATAGGAGCTGCAGCGAGCTTGAGTGACGACGAAGCAAACTACTACGAGGAGCGTACTAGCGCTTTTTATAGGAGCTGCAGCGAGCTTGAGTGACAACGAAGCAAACTACTACGAGGAGCGTACTAGCGCTTTTTATAGGAGCTGCAGCGAGCTTGAGTGACGACGAAGCAAACTACTACGAGGAGCGTACTAGCGCTTTTTATAGGAGCTGCAGCGAGCTTGAGTGACAACGAAGCACTAGACCACTGGCACTTAACAGATGAGCCCAGCCAGCTACACCGTGGCTATGTGGCAAGACACAGTGCAAGGAGAGAGACGTAGCACGCAGGTTGGTCCCTGTGGGCATGCATGTGGGGTGGTGGGAGGTGAGGCCAACTGTCTGCCGTGTCTGCAAAATGCCTGTGTGGAGGATAGCAACGCAGCACCTGCCTTTGCAACTGCTGCAACTGCTTCTGCTGCTGGTGCCTCTGGTGCTTCTGCTACTGGTGGTGCTGCGGCCCTTGGTGCTGCTGCCCTTGGTGCTGCTGGTGCCATTGCAGCTGCTGCTGAGGCACCTGGGAGCAGCAGCAGTGGTGTGCCCTCTGCCGCCCCTCGACCACTCCCGCCGCTCCCGTCCGCCAGCGACTTCTGTCCCATCTGCTGGGTGGAGCCGATCGCTGCCACCCCAGCCATCCGCCTGTTGTCCTGCGGCCACGTGGTCCACGTGGCATGTGCACGAGAGAAGATTAGCCAATCATATCCTGGTCCTGAGATCTCCTTTGCCTTCCTCTCCTCCCCCCTCCACCCCGCTGTCTCTGAAGCAGCAAGTGGAGGGGTTGGCAGAGGAGAAGGTGAGAGCTGGGGAGGGGCTTGGGGATGGGGAGGAGGCCAACGGGAATGATGGTCTTGGGAACGGTGTGTTGGCAGTGGTGTTGCATCGGTTGCTGTTCTTCCTCTGCCCCCGCTGCCACCACCCGTACTTTGGTGGCGACCGGAGGTGCGGTGCTGGACCTGCTGCTGCCGAGCCTGAGAATGAGGATGTGGAGGATCGGGAGGGAGTGGAGATGAAGGTGAGAGAGAGGGAGGGGAGGAAGGACGAGCAGTGGAAGGGGGTGGGCAGGGTCAGCAGGTCATTGAGCTGTTATGTGGCGATTGCTTGGCAGTTGAAGCAGCAGCAGCGGCGGCGGCAGCAGCGGCAGCAGCAGCGGCGGCGGCAGCAGCGGCAGCAGCAGCGGCGGAGGAGAGAGAGAGGAGGGAGCGGCTGTGGGAAGCAGGCAAGCCGTGCAGCAGCAACCACGGGCAAGAGGCCATACAGTACAAGTGCCGCTCCTGCTGCTCTGTCGCCACTTACATGCACGACGGCACATCTCATTCCTGTGCACGTTGCCACGATCGAGGCAGTCCACCCAACCCCTCGTGCACAGGGGGCACTGAGTGTCCCTTGCGTGTGGCTTGGCACCCCCAAGCCCCGCAGGATTGTTGCCTTGGCTGTGCGTTATGTAGGCCTTAAGAACAGCTGGGCTTTCGCGCAGAAGCACACATGAAGATTTTCCTGACTCTGCTGATGGTGGTGCGGGGTTACTGTACTAAAGGTGGTGGCAATACTTTGAAGTAATTGTATGGAGTGTATACAGTTTATAGGGAAGAGATGAATGGTTTTGTGTGGTGGAGCACAGGAGGTGGAAAACCCTCACTAAATATGCATGCAACATGAGCATGGAAACAGCATGTGCAGGAAATTGTGCAGTTCAAGTGTTGTTTGAGCTGCGCTCTCCCTGTTCATGTGCTTTGGCTCTACACACTGTTACAACTCCTTACGCATCAAAAGGCTATGCACCGAAGGGAACTGGTGCTCATTGCATGTGACGTGGCATGACATCTACATACTGTGTGTGTCACTTAGCCCCTGAGGAGTTCTTCCTTGGGTGTGTCTTGTGCAGACCGTAAGGCCACTGGCAAATGATACAGAACGAAAATGACTGGCAGGACAGCATAATTTTGCCACAGTGCTTGCTCATTTTATTTTGTATGAGATTCTTTGTTATTTCGAAGTACTAAGTGTACTTGACATTGGAGTGGTGCATGTTCCCCTCGCGTGCCCTCGAGAAGAGCATGCATGTTGTGGAACGCTGCTGTGTTGAAACACGCAGAAGGGAGACGAATCCGTCCGTGCATGGAGCCGACTACCGAACGAGCGCACGGCAGGCTCATCGCGGATACAGCCTGTAAACCCGCTGGCGAGATAGGCTGCTGTGAGGTACACAGAATTTTCTGTAACAGTATTGGCGAAATTAATGTACTTCAGCGAAAGTGATCGGGTGGGTCTCCCTCGGGTCGAGGAAACTGGTGAGGGGGAACCTCAGTTACCAAAATCGGCATCTTTGATTCGTCACACGGTTGCTGGGATTTGAGTTACCCGTCGCAAGCTCTCTCGCTGGTACTCCCAACACACAGAAACACAGGCCAGTGTCAGGAGAGTTCCTCCTCAACTACGGTAAACTTCGGTAATCAACGTTCGAGACTGGCTTGTTTGTTATTTTTCGCTGTCAGGTTGGCGCGTAGCTCTCTTTCTCGCGTTCACGCCTTCGTCCATTCCTAGCTCCTCCATGCATTTCCAGAAGCATGCAGATGCAATAAGGACTCCAATGTCGGTTGAATCGCCGCTGTCCCGTCTATCATCGACTCCCCTATGTCGGATCCTGCGACTCGCGTCGTCGGACCGGCATGCACGACGGCTGACTGGCTGATGCCGCTCGCGACGCTGCGGCGGCTGCAGCCGCAGTGGGTCGAGAATGCGTTACGAAACCACGGAATTCCTTTGCGACGCGCTGTGGAACGCTGCTGTGTTGAAACACGCAGAAGGGAGACGAATCCGTCCGTGCATGGAGCCGACTACCAAAAGGCCAAGCAGCAAAAGTCAAATTGTGCCAGCCGGGAATCGAACCCGGGTCTGCACCGTGCTGGCGTGGCAGGGTGCTATTCTACCACTAGACCACTGGCACTCAATCGGATGACAGCTGTCAGTTGAGCAATTTAATATAAATGTATATATTTTATTGGCCACAAATGCGCTGAGCATGCCTTCGAGGCAATCATGCAGTCACCAGCAACTACCGCCAAAGGCGGTAAGGGCGGGAAAGGAGGGAAAGGGGGAAAGGGAGGCAAGGGGGGGAAACGCAGCGGCCGGCACGGGGCATCGGCGAGCAAACAGCCGTCGATTCAGGCGAAGCGGGAGCAGCAGCAGCAGCAGCTGCAGCAGCAACAGCCAGATCAGCAGTCAGCGCAAACTCCGCAGAAAGTTATCTACGCGCACGGTGCGCAGCAGCTAGACCCCGCGCGGATAACTTCCGCCGCATCTCCGCTCTCCGCATCCGCAAACCCCGCCATCAAAAGCGAACATGGGTCCGCGCCTGCTACCGGTGGCGGAACCGTCGGGGGAGGCGCAGGAGCATCGGGGGCAGAGCCGGGCGTGGAGCGGCCGGCAGCGGGGGGAGCGGCGGTGGCGGGGGAAGGGGGAGGCTTGGCGGGTCCGCTTGAGGTGGGCGCGCGGGTTAGCGCGCGGTGGCGGGACGGGAAGATGCATCCCGCGAAGATCATCGAACGGCGGAAGGCGGCGGGGGGCGCGGACGAATACGAGTACTACGTGCACTATACCGAGTGTGAGTGAAGTGAGCGAACTTTGCGTGTGAGTGTGCACTATTAATCAAGTTTCTCAGGGGTGGCGGGGGGCGGGGACGAATACGAGGACTACGTGCACTATACCGAATGTGAGTATCTATGATGTGCCGCTGTGGGTGATGGAGGTGATACGAGAGTAGACTCAAAAGTTACCACCCAAGAGCACCCTGTTCCCAGGAGAGCACCCCGTTCCCAGGAGAGCACCCCGTTACCCGGAGAGCACCCCGTTGCCCGGAGAGCACCCCGTTGCCCGGAGAGCACCCCGTTGCCCGGAGAGCACCCCGTTGCCCGGAGGTGCTGGACTTGCACTTGGACGTGCTGTTCCCCTTCCTCCGCTCTCCTGCGCATGACCTACCTCCAAACCCAGCTTAGTCATTTCTGGGATTCCCTTCTTGTACCTCCTACCCCTTCTCCCAATCCCCCCCCCTTCCGCTCTTCCCGTTCTCTTTTTCCTTCCTCATTTCCATCCTTGCTCCGATCCCCCATTGTTTCCCCGCTCCTTCTCCCTTCTGTCCTTGGTGCTGATTGGCTGACGAGTGCGGAGCAGTCAACCGGCGATTGGACGAGTGGATCCCGGTGAGCAGCATCGACCAATCGTCTGTCAACACGGCGTGTGAAGAGAAGGCTGAGGAGAAGGTGAGTGGGGAGAAGGTACAAATGAAGTGCTACGCCTGGATTACTCTAAGACTGTTTTTGAGTCGACTAAAAAACAGACTCATCACACATGGTGCACATTAAATGCTATGCCTGGATTACTCTAAGACTGTTTTTGAGTCGACTAAAAAACAGACTCATCACACAAGGTACACATTAAATGCTATGCCTGGATTACTCTAAACGCGTCCCCCCCCTCGATCGATCATGCAAAATCGAGGAAGATCGATCCTCCACCGCACTAAAAACCTGCGCTCTCCGTTTTTGAATGTTTGAACCTTTTTAAACCGAGCTCAGGATCGATCATACGCAGGATCGATCGAGGGAGGGGACGCGTCCTAAGACTGTTTTTGAGTCGACTAAAAAACAGACTCATCACACAAGGTGCACATTAAATGCTACGCCTGGATTACTCTAAACTGTTTTTGAGTCGACTAAAAAACAGACTCATCACACAAGGTGCACATTAAATGCTATGCCTGGATTACTTTAAGACTGTTTTTGAGTCGAGTAAAAAACAGACTCATCACACAAGGTGCACATTAAATGCTATGCCTGGATTACTCTAAGACTGTTTTTGAGTCGACTAAAAAACAGACTCATCACACAAGGTGCACATTAAATGCTATGCCTGGATTACTCTAAGACTGTTTTTGAGTCGACTAAAAAACAGACTCATCACACAAGGTGCACATTAAATGCTATGCCTGGATTACTCTAAGACTGTTTTTGAGTCGACTAAAAAACAGACTCATCACACAAGGTGCACATTAAATGCTATGCCTGGATTACTCTAAGACTGTTTTTGAGTCGACTAAAAAACAGACTCATCACACAAGGTGCACATTAAATGCTATGCCTGGATTACTCTAAGACTGTTTTTGAGTCGACTAAAAAACAGACTCATCACACAAGGTGCACATGAAGTGCAAAGCCTGGATTACTCTAAGACTGTTTTTGAGTCGACTAAAAAACAGACTCATCACACAAGGTGCACATTAAATGCTATGCCTGGATTACTCTAAGACTGTTTTTGAGTCGACTAAAAAACAGACTCATCACACAAGGTGCACATGAAGTGCAAAGCCTGGTTTACTCTAAGACTGTTTCAGTGTACCAGCTTTGTTCCACCATCATCATTTCAAAAAGTCATATGCATTGTTCGTGTCCCTTTCCTACACCTGTTCGTTGCTGCCTTCCCCTCTCCCTTTCTCCTCTTCTTACCCTCACCTCCTGACCAATCCATCCCGTCTTCCTCTCCCCTCCTCCCCGTCGCTCAACTGCCGGCCTGCCCCTTTTCCTGCCACGTCAGCATGGCAGCGGAGTGAAGATGACACGTCATCAGAAGAGGAAGATAGACGAGCTACACATAGAAGAGGTGAGTACTTTCCGTAATGTTGAAATCACCCTTGAGAATTCTCAAAAGTGGTAGACGAGCTGCACATCAAAGAAAAAGCCGCGTGTAATGAGTCTGCTTTCGATTCGACTCAAAAGAATTCTCAAAAGTGGTAGACGAGCTGCACATCAAAGAAAAAGCCGCGTGTAATGAGTCTTCTTTCGATTCGACTCAAAAGAATTCTCAAAAGTGGTAGACGAGCTGCACATCAAAGAGGTGAGTACTTGTCGTTGCTTCGCAGGTTTGTTTTGGACAAAATCTCATATCTGCCCTGTACGTGACGCAGCAACCTGAGTGACACACTTTCGTGCACAGCACAGCACACACAGGGTCATGAGGAGTCTGGGGGAGCACGAGGATTTCACCAAGGTGCAGAACGGCGGCCATCAATGCAACCCTTGCCCACCCTTCCCCACCTTTACACACGCACATGCAGGGCAAGGGTTGCGTTGCATCCCCAATCAAGGCCCTTCTCCCCCCATCTTTACCACCCTAACACACGCACGCGCAGGGCCATGAGGATTTCGATGCTGCAAGCTTGCGAGAGCATGAGGAGTTCACAAAGGTGAAGAACGTTGCGGTGATAGAGCTGGGGCGGTACGAGATGGACACGTGGTACTTCTCGCCCTTCCCCCCCGAGTACGCGCACTGCTCCAAGCTCTTCTTCTGCGAATTCTGCCTCGCGTTTCTCAAACGCCCCTCACAACTGGAACGCCACATGGTGAGTGGTGGTGGGTGTGTGCTGTTTTCCCTCTGCTGTGTTCTGCTCTGCTGTGGTCTAGTGTGCTGGGAGGGTGCGAGAGGTAACCTGCCCTAGGCCCCCCCCGTGTGGTACTTCTCGCCCTTCCCCCCCGAGTACGCGCACTGCTCCAAGCTCTTCTTCTGCGAATTCTGCCTCGCGTTTCTCAAACGCCCCTCGCAGCTCGAGAGGCACATGGTGGGTGGTATGGTCGTTGCTTGCTCTGCGCTGCTCTGTTAGTCATTGCTTGTTTGTTTGCTTGTTTGTTTGCTTGTTTGTTTGTTTGTTTGTTTGTTTGATTATTTGTTTGTTTGTTCTTCGTTTCGCCTTCCTTTTTGTGTGAATGTGTTGTGTTCTATAGATCTTTCCACCATCCCTTCACGTCACGTGTGTGTGTGTGTGTGTGTGTGTGTGTGTGTGTGTGTGTGTGTGTGTGTGTGTGTGTGTGTGTGTGTGTGTGTGTGTGTGTGTGTGTGTGTGTGCAGCGCAAGTGCGACCTGAAGCACCCACCGGGGGACGAGATTTACCGCAACGGCTCCCTCTCCATGTTCGAGGTAACAACTGGTGTAGGCAATACAGTATGCAGTCATCACCTGGTGTAGGCAATACAGTATGCAGTCATCACCTGGTGTAGGCAATACAGTATGCAGTCATCACCTGGTGTAGGCAATACAGTATGCAGTCATCACCTGGTGTAGGCAATACAGTATGCAGTCATCACCTGGTGTAGGCAACACCTGGCATACGGGCAAACACCGGGGGATGAGATTTACCGCAACGGCTCCTTCTCCATGTTCGAGGTAACACCTGCTGCAGCAGGCAGGCAACACTAGTCCAGGTAATACCTGGTTTTGGCGACACTTGCTGCAGGTAATACTTAGTTTGGTTTTACCTGGAGTTTAGGTAACATCCCTGTTCGGACCTGCCCAGTTAGGCTGATAGCCTGTCTGCGTTGCACCCACATGGTTCTGCCCTCATCCCATCGCAGGTGGACGGCAAGCGCAACAAGGTGTACTGTCAGAACCTGTGCTATCTGGCGAAGTTGTTTCTGGATCACAAGACCCTCTACTACGATGTGGACCTCTTCCTCTTCTACATCCTCTGCGAGTGTGATGAACGCGGCTGCCACATCGTCGGTTACTTCTCCAAGGTATGCGGCAACACAATGCATGTTCGAGGGGGGTCGACTGGCAACACAATGCATGTTCGAGGGGGGTCGACTGGCAACACAATGCATGTTCGAGGGGGGTCGACTGGCAACACAATGCATGTTCGAGGGGGGTCGACTGGCAACACAATGCATGTTCGAGGGGGGTCGACTGGCAACACAATGCATGTTCGAGGGGGGTCGACTGGCAACACAATGCATGTTCGAGGGGGGTCGTCTGGCAACACAATGCATGTTCGAGGGGGGTCGTCTGGCAACACAATGCATGTTCGAGGGGGGTCGACTGGCAACACAATGCATGTTCGAGGGGGGTCGTCTGGCAACACAATGCATGTTCGAGGGGGGTCGTCTGGCAACACAATGCATGTTCGAGGGGGGTCGACTGGCAACACAATGCATGTTCGAGGGGGGTCGACTGGCAACACAATGCATGTTCGAGGGGGGTCGACTGGCAACACAATGCATGTTCGAGGGGGGTCGACTGGCAACACAATGCATGTTCGAGGGGGGTCGACTGGCGGACGCCTCCCCTCTCCGACCTCTCTCTTTCCCCACCGTCTTCTTTTGCATACGGCCAATCTTGCTCTCCCCTCTTATCTTCCTTCTGACCTCTTTCTCCCACCCCTCCCTGCCTGTGCATGGCAGGAGAAGCAGTCAGAGGAGGGTTACAACCTGGCCTGCATTCTCACGCTGCCGCCCTACCAACGAAAGGGATACGGAAAATTTCTCATCGCCTTCTGTAAGCCAACACAACGACCCGTGTCCTTGCAATTTCGTCTTGAGATTTTTTTCAAGGCACCTACGAGTTGTGGGTTGCGGCCCACAATTTTCAAGAGCTGGGTGGAGTGTTGCATCGCATTGCCCTCGTCCTTACCCCTTCCTATCTCAGTATATGAACTTTCAAAGGAGCGTTACTGACTCCACTTCCCTCCTCTCCCCCCACATCCACTCCCTCTACAACCCTTCCCTTGCCCCGCCACTCTCTCCCCTCTTTCCACCAGCCTATGAACTTTCCAAGAAAGAGGGCAAAGTAGGCACACCCGAGCGCCCTTTGTCTGATCTTGGCCTCCTAAGCTACCGCGGGTACTGGCTGCGCGTGCTGTTGCGCATCCTGAAGCACCACCGCGGCAACCTGTCGATCAAGGAGCTGAGCGACATGACAGGCATCAAGACGGAGGACGTCATCTCCTCGCTGCAGTCGCTGCACCTCATCCAGTACCGCAGGGGACAACACGTGATCTGTGCTGACCCGAAAGTATTGGACCGACATTTAAAAGCAGTGGGAAAACCGGGGTTGGAAGTGGATGTGTCGAAGCTCATCTGGACGCCATACAGGGAGCAGGGAGGGTAAGGGGGTAGTGTGTGTGTGTGTGTGTGTGTGTGTGTGTGTGTGTGTGTGTGTGTGTGTGTGTGTGGGTGTGTGTGTGTGTGTGTGTGTGTGTGTGTGTGTGGGTGTTTGTATGGGTTGTGTGTGAGGTGTCTCAATAAGCGCTTCTCAATGGTTCAGGTTGGGGAGTGTCTCTTGTGTAGATTTTGTATAGTAAACAAATGAAAGACCTACAGGACAGTGTTACTACTGAGGCCCTTCTGGACTCTTTATGTCTTGATGCGAGGCCTGTGTTTAGAGGTTGATTGGATAATGGGCACTTGATAGTGAATGAATAGCCTGAAAATAACCGAGTAAACTATTCAGAGTACTAGTAGTTCTGTAACAACTGTTGGGCGGATCGCTGTAGGCCCAAAAGCAACTCAAGGTTACTAAGCCCCCAACGACACCAAACCCTTAACTCTCAGAAGCTGCTTACTAATGGTATTCTGCCAAACGTGCGGCACGAATGACCCAATCCACTTGGGTGAAAACGGAGAGGGATCAGCTTAGCAGAGGACGGACTCAGATGACCCTGCGGCAGCGTGAGCTGTTTGCTTGCCCACCACACCACCATCCTCCTCACAGACCTAAACTCTACACACAGCATGAGGCATCTGCCTGCCTGCCCTGCTTTGGCCCAGGGACCCTACTACAGAGATGGCTCAGCAGAGGACAGACTCAGATGACCCAGCAGTAGCGTGAGCTGTTTGCTTGCCCACCACACCGTCCACATCCCGGCCGGGTGGCACAAAGAGCAGATCACCCCATGGGGAGTCCTCCTCATTCTTCTGCACAGGTGGGAAATTGGGAACGGAGGAGAGACGAGTGAGGGACAGCGGGGAAGACAAAAAAGTACCTTTGTGGTGGCTCGAATGCGTGAATGTGTAAGAGCGTGATGGGCAGTGGTGATAATACGAGGGTGATAACAAGATGGAGCCTTATATGTGTATGTGTACAGTGTAAGTGAGAGACAGATAGACAGTGGTGGTGATGTGGAAGGGTGCGGCATGGCATGGCTCGTATATGAGGGTGCATACCTCCATCTTCTTTAGCACATCCTCAAAGCTCCCCACCTGATGGGGCATGGCATGGCATGGCGTGGCATGGCATGGCATGGCATGCATGGAATGGGATGGGATGGGATGTGAGAAGGCATGGCATGGGGAACGGGATGGCATGGTATGGGGCATGAGGAGGAGCATGTGGCATGGGAAGGAATCGGGAACGAGAGGGGAACGGGGCATGGGACAGGGGCAGCAAAGAGCAACACGGTGGATGAGAGCATGCCAAGAGGTAAGGGGAGGCATGCCACACATGCCTTTTGAGACGTCTCAAAAGGCATGCAACACATGCCTTCCTTTGAGACGTCTCAAAAGGCATGCAACACATGCCTTCCTCGCAGTGCTCACCTGCACGTTGATGTTGACAGGGCCCTTCCCAGTGCTCTTCTGCGGCTTGCCCCCCGTTGCCTTCCTTATTGCCGCCTCTAGATCCTCCTACAGGCACGAGCCATGCATGTACCATATGGGCATACATGTGTATGCACATGCCATGCGAGTATGATATACTTGTGAGTATACATGTAAGCGCAGGCCATAGAAGTATGTGAAAATTGCTCCGATGGAGGGTATGTGAAAGACACAGGAGGAGGAGCAGAGGACCAGAGGTGGTGCTTGAGAATGAATCGGGAGCGAATCTCGATAAACCATGTCATGCAGATGGGCGTGTGGCAGCATGGTGTGTGGCACATGGGCGTGTGGCAGCATGGTGTGTGGCAGATGGGCGTGTGGCAGCAGCTGGAAGGAATGGCATATGGTGCGTTGGCAAGAAGAATCATCGGGGCGGGGTGGGGGGGGGGTGGGGGAGAGAGTGCTACGTGGTTGGTGCCATGCCACAAGTGTTTTATTTATTTATTTTTTTAAATGAAATCAGGAAGAAATGAAACAGCAAAAACGCATGGACGAAGAGGGTGTGTGCATGAGTGTGAGCTGGCTTTTGAGTCGACTCAAAAGTCAACTGTGTGCATGAGTGTGAGCTGGCTTTTGAGTCGACTCAAAAGTCAACTGTGTGCATGAGTGTGAGCTGGCTTTTGAGTCGACTCAAAAGTCAACTGTGTGCATGAGTGTGAGCTGGCTTTTGAGTCGTCTCAAAAGTCAACTGTGTGCATGAGTGTGAGCTGGCTTTTGAGTCGACTCAAAAGTCAACTGTGTGCATGAGTGTGAGCTGGCTTTTGAGTCGACTCAAAAGTCAACTGTGTGCATGAGTGTGAGCTGGCTTTTGAGTCGCCTCAAAAGTCAACTGTGTGCATGAGTGTGAGCTGACTTTTGAGTCGCCTCAAAAGTCAACTGTGTGCATGAGTGTGAGCTGGCTTTTGAGTCGACTCAAAAGTCAACTGTGCATGAGTGTGAGCTGGCTTTTGAGTCGACTCAAAAGTCAACTGTGCATGAGTGTGAGCTGGCTTTTGAGTCGACTCAAAAGTCAACTGTGTGCATGAGTGTGAGCTGGCTTTTGAGTCGACTCAAAAGTCAACTGTGTGCATGAGTGTGAGCTGGCTTTTGAGTCGACTCAAAAGTCAACTGTGTGCATGAGTGTGAGCTGGCTTTTGAGTCGAATCAAAAGTCAACTGTGTGCATGAGTGTGAGAGCCATGCCTTGGTGAAGAAGATTGGGCAGAAGCGGCGGTTCTTGGATCGGAGGATTAGACTCTCTGACTGGCGTGTGGGAGGGGCAGGGAAAGGGAACAAAAAGGGAGACAATTCTTTGCAGCGCCTAAGAAATCTCACTGCACGGAGACTGGTTGTGTGGGAAGTGAGGCGCCAAGAGACTGTATCATCACATGCAGGCAGGTGGCCCTCCCATACCTGGAAGACAGGTTCGCCTCTCCCATACCTGGAAGGCAGGTTCACCTCTCCCATACCTGGAAGACAGGTTCGCCTCTCCCATACCTTGACGGCAGGTTCACCCCTCCCATACCTGGAAGACAGGTTCACCTCTCCCATACCTGGAAGGCAGGTTCACCTCTCCCATACCTGGAAGGCAGGTTCACCTCTCCCATACCTGGAAGACAGGTTCGCCTCTCCCATACCTTGACGGCAGGTTCACCCCTCCCATACCTGGAAGACAGGTTCACCTCTCCCATACCTGGAAGGCAGGTTCACCTCTCCCATACCTGGAAGACTGGCACTCCATCAAAGGCCTTGCTGTTGTCGCCTGCTTGCGATTTCAGCTGGTGGCGAGCGCGGGATTGGGACAAGGGAATACAAGGAAATTCAGCCATTACTTGGGGTTGGTTGGGGTGATGATGCACAGTGGCAGCAGGAGCAGGAAGAAGGAAAGCTATGAGGTCGCCTGTCCACATAAAACGCGAATTTTTAGTTCTCACTCCGCAATCATCACTGGCGAAAGCGTGAGCCGGAATGCTGCGAGGATGCATGCCCGTATGGAAGTGAGTGAAGGTGATAAATAGGGAGCGGAGCACACATGTGGGATACAGAAAGCCGGGTGACGAGTGCAAGCAGGGGAGAGAGATGAGGCGAAAGGGAGGAGCGAGAAAATGAGGGGCGTGGAGGGGGTGAGAAGAAGGCAGCGAGAGGGAGGAAGGGAGGCAGAGGTGCAAAAATCAGCTTACCAGCACAGCATGCTTGACTTGAAGGGGGTCTGGCAGGAAGCGGAAGGCAATCCCCTCAGCTGACAGCGCATACACCTGTGTGTGGTGGTTCGATCACGATGTGGTAATCAGAAGCACAATGCGATCTAATGAGGGACACAGAGAAATGAATGCCAATAAAACAGCTCTGAATGTCCACATATCCAAGGTGTCCTACCGCAAGAGCACCTCAACCACCAGCATGCTGGTTACCTGATTTCCTTACTTCATCTTAATCCCCTCAGCTTAAATATCCATCCCCTGTGACCTGTCTCACCTTATCCATGGCCACCGGCACCACTCGAGCTCCCTTGCCCAGCGACGCGTCGCGATCCTTCACCTGCCCACATTGTGACATGGCACGGGTTAGCAGCGCGTGGCATGACGTGGCCTGACGTGGCATGGATGGACTAGCATGGCGTGAGAGAATACATGTGATTATGGGTATCGATGTGCATGTGAGGCCATCACCTATCCAGAAACCCCCCTTCCGTTCCCCCCTTCCCCTCCCCCAAGTGCCCCCTGCGCCACCTCCTTCTCATTCCCCCCTCCCCTTCCCCCCAACCCCTTTATCATTATCCTCCTTCCCAGGCCCATGCCACCAGAGCCATTCGAAAGACATCCCACCTGCGCCATCCCACCTGCGCCGACCCATCTGCGCCGACTCACCTGCGCCAGGAGCGTTTCCGCGTCCTCCTTGCGGAAGCAGAACAGCCCGATCGACTTGCTGCCCTCCGCGTCCGTTATAAGAACGAACTCGTTAGCCGCGTTGCTCACAGTGTACACCGCCAGACCCTCCAGCCGCTTCGCCACCTGCGGTGCGGACATGGCGACGTCGAACAGATGCGTCGCCCCCCCGTCGTACGCGTTAGTGCCAGCTGCGGTAGCAGACGCAGCGTCGAATCCGCGTAGCGACGACGCAATGGACGCGAAGCACGGAGCTCGGAAACCCTGCTTCTGGCTCCTAAACTCCTCCGCGTTCAACGGAAAATATTTAACTCTCTCGATTCCCGCCATAGCGTGACGAATCGCTCCCTGCTTGTGCTTCTCGATCTCCCCAGCGCAGAAATCCCGGAACCTATCAGCTTCGAGCCGTCTGTCGCGGGCCCATGCTGCCAGAGGCGCCGCGAGAGATAAGGTGCTTTGAAAGTTGCTCTGCACAGCGCTCTGGACATTCTGAGCGAAAGCGGGGAGTCGCCGCTGCTGTGTTACCCCGTCCATCGAGCGAGTCTCCATTCACACTGTGTTCGTGAAGAGATTGATCGAGGAAGATGTGTGATGACGATGAATTATGCAGGACCACGCGTGGGTCAGCGCGAAACACGGCGGTAAATTCGTTTCTGACCAGCTGGAGAGAAGGATCAGAGGGGGGGGACAGGAACAACAAATCAGGGGAGTGTGCGATACTGAGCTCTCCAATATGTGTCATACAGATTGTGAAACTTCTGTATTCAGTTCTGAAATATCTTTGTTTTCTAATGTACTGCAGTGCTCTACACACACTACCTACCCCTTCAGCTGATGTGTGGGCGTGACCTCATCAAAAGAACCCATTTCTGGTTCGGCACGGTTTGTTATATATTTAGCGTGTTATGGTGCGATACAGTAGTATCAGTGATGTGTAGATCTCCTTTAGGGTAACCAGAAAGCACAGGCTTGTGTAGCCTCTTCGCGCGCGTGTGCTCTTTCATCGTCAGGCAGCTGCGTAGTCGGAAAGAGCAGATGGGTTTCGCCAACGTCCCCGCGCACTCATCAACCGAACAGTTTCCCCTCCACCCCGTCTGTCTCCCTCCACCCCGCCAGTCTCTCCCGCTTCACCGACCATCCTTGCTCTTTTCCCCCCTTTCCCCCTTTTCCCCCTTTTCCACGCTCACCTCTTCTCCCTGGCTCCCTGCACAGCTCTCCCGTTCCGCCAATCCCTTGTTTCCCCCTGTTGCCTGCACAGTTTTTCGCGCCTTCCCTCGCCTCGAACTTTTCCCCGATCGCTTCCTCCGAACCTGTTCACGCGCTCTCCCCCGTGTTCCTTCCCCCGACCCGCGACTCCCTCCCTCCCCCGTCCTCCCCCGCTACCCTCCCCATGCTTTTCACAGTTGGTTTCCATCCAATCAAAATACTGTACTCGTTCCTTCCACAGTCCCTTCGTGTCGCTTTCTGACTACTCCCTTGGAACCATTCCAGAAGAGTTGAGCTTCTCCATTCTTTCAGCATTTTCTTGTCCGCCAAAATCTAGGTCTTTAGCTCCTATTTTCTGAGTCCTTCGCGACCTGTTGAGAGTCCTCGGCTATGTCGGGATTCACCACGAAGGGCCGGCCGATAGTCCCATCGTTCGGCCTATGGCGAACCGGCGGCAGCGAGGGTCCGACAGACGCATCGTCAATCTCACAGGTGTTTCGGGAGGCGGGTAAGAAAGCACTGCAGGCGAAGCAGCAGCAGCAACTGGCGTTAGAACCGTACGAGGATAGCGAGAAGACCGCTATTAACGGATCTTTCTCCTCTTCTTCCTCCTCATCGTCCTCTGCTGCTACCCACCCTTCCTCTGATTCCCATTCCTCTTCCGTGTCCCACCCCCCAGTACCATCCCACCCTTCCACTGCGCCGTACCCTGCCATAGACCCATACCCTTTCGCAGCAGCCAACTCGTTCGTCCTGTCAATACCGCTTCAAGCAGGACCTAAAAACGCCACACACTCGCCAACTTCTGAGTCGACTCAAAAATCGCTTCAAGCAGGACCTAAGAATGGCACCCATTCTCCAACCTCTCAAGTCCACCCCACCGCACCCGAATCAAGTCCGATCCTTTCGCCTCGCCATGCTCTCGCGTCGTCTCCCACGCGCCTCGATCCCTCTAAAAACCCGACCTTGGAGTCGCACCCCGCCACGGCTCGCTCTCCGCACTCGTCACCGCACCCTCCGGCGTTTTCAATCAAAGCGACCGTCGCGTCGCTCGTGGGGAGCGTCAACCTGCTCAGCCTGAGCGACAGCTACGCTGCCGGCGACGCGTCGACAATATCCACCGTGTTTCGCGACAAGAAGAAAAAAATCCTGCAGGAGAAGCAGCAGCAGAAAGGGCTGCTGCTCCTCTCCCCCACACGCGAAGACCCGTCCCCTCCGGCGCCCTCAGGTGCTCCTCCAGGTGCTTATTCAGGTGCCATTCCCAGTAAAACCGAGCCTTCACCTGCGAGGGCTGTACCGGCTGCAGAGTCCCTTTCTGTGCTCAGCCTGAGCGACAGTTACGCCGCAGGCGACGCGTCGACGATATCGGCCGTGTTTCGCGACAAGAAGAAGAAGATCCTGCAGGAAAAGCAGCAAAAGGGGTTCGCACTCTCCCCCACACGAGAGCTGACAGCCGTTGATGATGCTCAATCTTCTCATGCTGAGACGGTTCAACGGTCATCTGTTGAGGCTGCTCAACGGTCCCCGCAGCGAAACTCATGGTCGGGAAACTCGAACGCCGTGCACCCGGAAACTCCGGCGGAAGTTCCTACGTGGCATCCTCATCAGCTTCAAGGCGGTCCGTCTGACGTGGACTCGGACGCGTCGACGATTTCCCTGGTTTTCCGGGATATGCGGCACAAGGCGCGGCAAGAGCGGCAGGAGCGGGAATCAAAGGGGGTTGGAGGTGACGTGAGAGTTCAAGCGAGCACAGGAGCACAAGTGCTAGGAGCAGTCGAATCAAGAGCAACAGGTGTAGCAGCAGGTCTAGCCGCAGAGGGCGAAGCATATCCCGTCTCGCCAATACACGCTCTCGCGAGCCCCAACCGTCCCGAATCCAGCCAACCGGCCATCGATCTCTGGCCGTCTAGCTCGCCGGCCGCAGCAGCCGGGCCTGCGGGGGAGAACGTGTCGCTAGTCTTCTGGTCGCGGCAGCAGGAAGGGCACTCGGGGGAAGACGCCAAGACGGCGAAATTTGGGGAGAGAATCCGGAAAGGTTCAGGCGAGGGTGGGGGGGCTGCTGTGGGGAATGCGGCGGAAGGAGCAGGGGTAGAGAGCGCAGGAGGGGGAGGAGGTGGAGGGGGAGAAGGCGAGTTTGAGGCGTCGTTTAGAGCGTCGCACCCGCCTCACTCCACGGCGCATGGGACGGCGCAGGAAGGAGCGCAGATGACGGGGGTAGGGGCGGCGCAGGGGGCGGTGGCGGCGGAGGGGGAGGGGGAAGGGGCGGAGAGGGAGGCGGAGGAAATCGACGAGGACGTGTTGCACGCGTGTGTGGATCCCGCGTACGCGGACCCGCGGCGGCAGTTCATGTCCAACCCCACGTGCTCTCTGGACGAGGCGTTTGACGCCATCCTGCAGAACATGGATAGCGGCCCTCTGGGCGCTGACGCGCGAGCCACGGCCCAGGTGAGATGGAGACCAGTAGAGCTCTTGATGACTTTCTTGGAACGTACACAAGCGAAACCTATGTGCTCGCTGGACGAGGCGTTTGACGCCATCCTGCAGAACATGGATAGCGGCCCTCTAAGCGCTGACGCGCGAGCCACGGCCCAGGTGAGATGGAGACCAGTAGAGCTCTTGATGACTTTCTTGGAACGTACACAAGCGAAACCTATGTGCTCGCTGGACGAGGCGTTTGACGCCATCCTGCAGAACATGGATAGCGGCCCTCTAAGCGCTGACGCGCGAGCCACGGCCCAGGTGAGGTGGAGACCAGTAGAGCTCTTGATGACTTTCTTGGAACGTACACAAGCGAAACCTATGTGCTCGCTGGACGAGGCTTTTGACGCCATCCTGCAGAACATGGATAGCGGCCCTCTGGGCGCTGACGCGCGAGCCACGGCCCAGGTGAGATGGAGATTGCGTGGTGGGGTAGAGGTAGGGTGAGTGCCGGTGGCGGTTGTTCAGACAGTGTTCAATGATGCAACCCCACGTGCTCTCTGGACGAGGCCTTCGACGCCATCCTGCAGAACATGGATAGCGGCCCTCTAAGAGCTGACGCGCGAGCGACAGCTCAGGTGAGATGGAGAGCAGTAGAGCTCAGGTGAGATGGAGAGCAGTAGAGCTCAGGTGAGATGGAGAGCAGTAGAGCTCAGGTGAGATGGAGAGCAGTAGAGCTCAGGTGAGATGGAGAGCAGTAGAGCTCAGGTGAGATGGAGAGCAGTAGAGCTCAGGTGAGATGGAGAGCAGTAGAGCTCAGGTGAGATGGAGAGCAGTAGAGCTCAGGTGAGATGGAGAGCAGTAGAGCTCAGGTGAGATGGAGAGCAGTAGAGCTCAGGTGAGATGGAGAGCAGTTGAGCTCAGGTGAGATGGAGAGCAGTAGAGCTCAGGTGAGATGGAGAGCAGTAGAGCTCAGGTGAGATGGAGAGCAGTAGAGCTCAGGTGAGATGGAGAGCAGTAGAGCTCAGGTGAGATGGAGAGCAGTAGAGCTCAGGTGAGATGGAGAGCAGTAGAGCTCAGGTGAGATGGAGAGCAGTAGAGCTCAGGTGAGATGGAGAGCAGTAGAGCTGTTCATGACTGGCTTGGAACGTTACACAAGCGAACCCCACTCGCGCCGGATAGTGGTCCATTGGAGGCTGACGCGAGAGCTGCTTCCCATGTAAGATACGGATTCTGTTTTTGAGCCGCCTCAAAAAGAGAGCTGCTTCCCAAGTAAGATACGGAGTAGTAGAGCTGATGACTGGAAACAATAGACTAGCCTATCCCACATGCTCTCTGCTGTTCAGCCAATCAATTCTAGTTTTGAGACGTCTCAAAACCAATCAATTCATTCTCTTGACATCCCCTTTTTCCACGCTGCTTCCATCAGGCTAGCCTGCAGTCACCGTTCGAGCAGCTATTGGAAGGGAGTGAGTCTCCTAGCCCAGAGCACAACCACCAACACCAGCAGCAGCAGAAGCAACCACTGTCACCGCAGCATGCTCAGCCTAGGTCAGAGCAGCACAGCAGGGCTGGACAAAGCACGGATGAGGACGAGGCGAGGACGAGCGGGTGGCAGCTTCAGCTGCCCCTCCCGCTCTCCCACCGCGCCCAGCAGCAGCAGCAGCAGCAGGAGGGGGGTCAGGTGGGGTTGCGCGGGCTGAAAGCGCGCAGCAGGGCGTTTGTGAACAAAGTGATGACCAAGCTGAACGGGCGTGCGGGCATGGGCAGCAGTCCACAGTCAGTGAGCATTTTGAACAACCAGCTGGGGCCCGTCAGGAGCGCGGATGTGGGTATGGTGGGCTCGCCTCGCAACACCACAGCAACGCTCCCTTCATCCAGGAGCGTGCGAAGTGAGGCGGAGCCCTGGCAACACCACCGTCAGCAACAGCGTCAGCAGCATCAATATCAGCATCAGCAGCACCAGCAGCATCAGCTAGCATCACCATTAGCTTCACCGTTATCATCACCGTTATCCTCTTCGTTGTCGTCGTCCCCACTGCATCAGCAGCATCATCAGCAGCAGCAGGAGAAGAAGCAGCTGGTAACCTTTCCGACTGTGTAAAAGCCGTTCATTAGTCGTCACCAACTTCCACCCTTGCCAGATTTTGAGTCGACGCGAAACTCGGTCGTCACCACCAGCTTCCATTCCTCCCTTGTCAATAAAATGCTAGTTACAAGCCACTTTGTACAAGTCCACCTTGGACATTGTCACCAGCTTCCACTCCACCCTTGTCAATAAAATGCTAGTTACAAGCCACTTTGTACAAGTCCACCTTGGACATTGTCACCAGCTTCCACTCCACCCTTGTCAATAAAATGCTAGTTACAAGCCACTTAGTACTGTTGGAAACAATCGGTCCTAAGCGCCTCTGTCGTATCGAAACACTAAGACACAAAAGAAACGAAGTATAACGAATCACCGGCGAGTCAACCCTCGGAGGTTGAAAGTAACTGTTGGAGGTTACGCGAAAGTCAAAGGTCAGCGACCTTTGACCTGACAAAGTACAGCGCGACAGCAAGGACAAACAACTGACTCGGTATTGAGCAGTTGCCCGAGTCGTCACCGTATCGAACCGCAACAGCAATAGTAAAACGGTTATTAACTGTATCTCTTCGTATTCCTTGTACTCTTATAAAAGCTTGTATCTCTTTGTTTTAATCAACTTACTTTGCCCTCACATACCAGTGCAAGGTAGTTCACAACTCTTTAATAAACGCTTCCGCTACTACACCAACTCTACCCAGAGTTCACCCCTGCAAAGATCCTAGGGGCTTTTCAGCCCAACATGGTATGAGAGCTATCAGGGGGAATTCAACTTCTATACCGACAACATCAACAAGCATGGCTACACAAAAGGAAAGGAGCAACTCCAACGGCTCCCAGGGCACTACTCCTACTCCACCTCCTGCCTCTGGCCTACAGACAGAGGAGGGCACAGCAACAAGACCCAGAGCAACATCTACCGAGACTCCCGCGAATCAACCTGCAGACTTCGACCAGAGCATGATGGAGAAGTTTTTCTCCTTCATGTCCTTCTACGAGCAACACCAACAATCGGCACCTGCGCAGTCACACAACAGCAACAACAACGGAGCAACACCCATGAGTCTCGACGGCTCATCATATGCACGAGGAAATCAACAACAGCAGCCTACCTTTGCTCCGTACGAGCGCGGGTCCATCAGTTTTATGCCACACCCACAGCCTTCACCTGGACAAGAAAAATCACTGGACGCATTACAAGTTCAGTCGCAGTTCGCACACGTTCTGAAGATGCAGACGTCAAGACCTTTCGATGGAAAGGACTTCTTCACCTGGTCGTTCGAGTTCGAGCTGATGATGGAAGGCGCGCAGATACTCGGGTTCTTCGACGGGTCTCTGCCATACCCAACAAACGGCACACAGTACGAGAAGCAGCAGTACACCTATCAGTCAATGATGGCGTACACGATCCTACTGAGGAATATCACCCCGACTCAACAGCAGAACATAAGGTCTTACCGAGGTTACGGCAACTCCGCGGAGCTCGCGTACAACCACCTGAAGAGCCTGTATCAAGCAACAGACAGCGTAAGCCAAAGTCGGTTAATGGCGCAACTGACAACGGTTGAAATGAAACCAGGGGAGAAAGGAATGGCGTATATCAGTCGATGTCGCAAGTTGCGCGACAAGCTTCTTCGATGCGGAGGGTCGATCTCTGAAGACGCCTTCGTGACAGTCATCATCGGCGGCCTCGGTCCTCAATGGCGCGCCACAAAGGCCATTCTCCGAGCTCACGGAAGAATCTCCGAAGCAGCGCTCTGCGCCGAAATCCACGCCGAGCAGCAAGACATGGACCTGCAAGAAGAACGACACAAAAAGAATACATCAGCACCGGAATTCGCGTTCCACACTCAGCGACGCTACAACAACAACAACAACCGGCAGCAACAACCGAAGCCAGTACCTCCGTTCTGCCACATCTGCAAAACTTCAGGACACCCGCGTACGCACTGCCCAAATCGTCAACAGTCAACAACTCCACAGCGGCAACTTCGACCTTCAAGCAGCCAAATCGCCTCAACGCAAGCAAATCCCACGACCCAGATTCAAGCCTCAACGACTTCAACGGGACAACCTGCACAAGGAGCAAGAAACATCGTCAGCTGCATGGCAAAGCTGAGTGACTCCTGCATCACCGAGTCACCACCACACTACTCACCGGAAGAACAACTCGACGAAACCACACCCCGCCGCGAGTCACTTCAGCCGAACCCGACATACGCCGCCATCGCCCAAAGCGAACCATCCGGAAAAGACACATGGTTCTTGGACAGTTGCTGCGGACAGCACATGTGCTCCTCGGGACGCTTCGTTCAACGAGAACACCAACTTCAACGCGAAGTTGTCATTACAATCGCCAACAATCAGAACCTGCGAACACGACGACAAGGCGTAGTTCAACTTCAGTCAAGGGAAACAAACGTTATACTGCAGATGTCAAAAGTACTAATCGCAGAGGGACTCGGCTACAACTTACTGAGCGTAAGTCAGCTAATGGCGAAAGGGATTCACCTCGAAGCAGACAGCACCACCCAAGAATTCAAAATGTATCATGGGAGAGGAGGACTTTACATCGGCAAGGCGGTCCTCAAGAACAACGTCTTCGTTCTTGATTTCGTTCCTGATCTTGGCACCGCCGACAGCGACGCCATCGTTAACTTCACCAACTGGACACACCCTCCAGACCTTGATCCAGACTTCGGTCCAGAAGGCTTCTGGTACTCACACACCATCCCTGAAGTAGAAAGAACAAGGGCGTTAGCAACAATTCAGACAACATCAACAGCAGCAGAGACAACATCGGCAGCAGCAGAGACAACATCGGCAGCAGCAGAGACAACATCGGCAGTAGCAGAACCATCAACGGCAGCAGCAGGAACGTCAACACCAATTGCTGGTCCTTCAACGACACCGCTCCTCATCGACGACACACCACCGACACCCGCGCAACAACTACACCCAGCACCACAAGAAGTTCATCGTAGCGCCAACTTCACCGCCAACTTCTACTCCAACTCCGATATGTACCGACGATCACCCGGACATCGCGCCGACGAAAGCACCTGGCACGCAAGGATGGGACACCCAAGCAACACAGTATTAAACAATACGATAAGAGCAGGAGTACTCGACAAGGACTCACTCCTACTGACCGACGGACGAGAACTTCAACGAGTACGCGGAACGTGCTTCACCTGCCCTGAAGGTGACTTACCACATCGACCGTTTGCGTCTCATCACAACCCGAGCGCACCCACGTACGCACCACTCGAGAAGGTGTATAGCGACATCCTGTACAATCGGGAACCAGGACAAGTAATATACAACTATACAATCACCTTCATCGACGCCGCCACCCGTTACGTCTGGCACCTAAACCTCCCTAGCCGCGACATGGCATTCGCAGCCTTCGTTGCCTGGCTACCAGTAGCAGAGAGAGAATCGGGCGTGAAACTGAAAAGCTTCCAGTTAGACGGAGGAGGAGAATACACCTCTCAGCGATTCAAGCAGTACCTGGCGGAAAAGGGAATCAAGCGGCTCATCTCCCTTCCCTACGCCCATCAGCAGCAAGGTGTAGCAGAAAGAATGAACAGGACCTTGCAGAACAGCATGCGCAAACTGCTACGTGGCATGCGGCTACCCAACCACCAGTGGCCTGCGGCAATGGACCACGCCGTCATGCTGCACAACTTGCTCTCGTCATCATCGCTTCCAAACAACGCATCACCGCATCTGCTATGGACAGGGAAACAGGGCAGCACAAAAATGTTACGAGTATTCAGATGCATGGTACAGTACCGACCCCCAGCAGCACGAGCGGGCCGTTTTTCTCAACGAGCACAGTGGGGACTACACCTGGGAATCGAAAAGAACTACAACGCGTGGAAAATCTTCGATGTCCATTCCAAGGAAACAGTAGCAGCACGTGATGTAATTTTCTACGAACGACTCACGTTCCAGACATACCTTGCCAACCTGCAAGAAGACCAGGATCCCACAGGTGGTTTTCGCGGTGACCGAGCCTTCGCCTCAGCAACGGACGAAGCTGACTGGGACGAGCAGAATGTGGACAACGCATCAGAAGAAGCCGGACCTCTTCCGTTCTGCTCCGTGGACGTTCCCATGGACGAAGATAACCCTCGCGAAAGTGTCAACGACGAAACCTTCTACTATTTCGCCGACAACGGTTACGTAACACCTGCGACAGTCAACACCAACGAAGCAGAACGAGTAGGACCCAACTTCATACCTGATCCAGAAGCGGGAGATGAAGCAGCTTATCCCGAGGACGCAAATCTTCCCCGCTACTCACAGAGTGGACTGCAAATTCTCGGACTCGTCACCGCAGTCCACGGCACCGCCATTCCTAAAGAGCCTGCGACGGTTCAACAGGCTCTGGGGGGGGAGCATAATGAAAAATGGCGCGAAGCCATGGACAAGGAGCTGAAGGCACTGGAGGAACGCAACACGTGGAAAGTGGTTCCTATCGGCATGGCACGGAACAAGACAGTGCTCACCGGGAAGTGGGTCTTCCGTGTGAAGACAAAGGCTGACGGCACCATTGACAAATTTAAGGCTCGCTGGGTTGTACGCGGCTTCGACCAAGAACACGGACGCGACTTCACCGAAACTTTCGCTCCGGTTAGCCGCCACACCTCACTACGCATTCTCCTCGCAATCGCCGCCATGAAGAAGAAGAAGCTGCGACAAATTGACGTCGCGAACGCGTTTCTCTACGCACCTGTTGATGCAGAAATTTTCGTCGAGCTACCGCACGGCTCCCACAGAGAACCCAACCAAGTCTGCCAGCTACTCAAGTCACTCTACGGCATCAAGCAGGCTCCGCGACTGTGGCAACAGTACCTGCACACTCGCCTCATCCGCATCGGCTTCAAGCAACTACCGCACGATCAAGGCATGTACCGGCTCACAAAAACGACGACTACATCCTACTAATCGTCTACGTGGACGATCTCCTTTACATCGGCTCGAATGACGGCATCACTACCTGGTTCGAAGGGGAGATGCAACGAGATCTCACGCTCACAGTTTCATCTACCGTCACTCAGTACCTCGGCCTCAACATCCGGGAAGAGGAGGACGCGATCTACCTCAGCGCCGAGAAATATGCCGACACCATCGCCAAACGCTTTACGCTCACACCGACAGCCATCTCCACGCCATACCGCTACACGGCACGGAACGACAAAGGAAGCTCCGCTCTACTCAAGCCCGCCGGCATACGAGACTACCAGAAGAAGCTGGGATGTCTTCTCTTCGCAGCCGTCACCTGTCGCCCCGACCTCTCATACTCCGCAAGCCAGCTCGCCACCTACCTCAAGAAGCCTGAAGCAGAACATCTGGCGGAGCTCGACCGCACTCTTCACTACTTCGTCAGCACCCCAACGATCGGCCTAACTTACTACAAGAACGCAACCACACCGACTAAGTTAATCGGCTACGTCGACGCTGATCACGCTGGCGACTCCGACAATAGGCGCTCCCGCACCGGCTACATCTACCGCCTCGAACCTATCGGACCTATCTCTTGGCAGTCGAGCAAGCAGGAATTAATTGCTCTCTCGTCAGCTGAAGCATAATATATTGCACTCTGCTCAGCCACCAAGGAAGGACTCTATCTTCGCGAGCTGCTGGAAGAAGCGAAGTTAGCCGAGTTACCCAACTTTACCCTGTTCTGCGACAACCAGTCAGCAATTCGCATCGCCAACAATAACGGTTTCGCAAACAGGACGAAACACATCGCCCTGCGATATTTCTTCGTGAAGGACGAGATCGAGAAGGGAAGGCTCGAGCTGTCATACTGTCCCACGTCTGAGATGGCAGCTGACTACCTGACCAAGAAGCTCGGAAAGCAGAAGTTCGAATACTGCATGTTGCTGACTGGACAGAGCCACGTCAGCGACACTCCAGAAGCGAAGGGGAGTGTTGGAAACAATCGGTCCTAAGCGCCTCTGTCGTGTCGAAACACTAAGACACAAAAGAAACGAAGTATAACGAATCACCGGCGAGTCAACCCTCGGAGGTTGAAAGTAACTGTTGGAGGTTACGCGAAAGTCAAAGGTCAGCGACCTTTGACCTGACAAAGTACAGCGCGACAGCAAGGACAAACAACTGACTCGGTATTGAGCAGTTGCCCGAGTCGTCACCGTATCGAACCGCAACAGCAATAGTAAAACGGTTATTAACTGTATCTCTTCGTATTCCTTGTACTCTTATAAAAGCTTGTATCTCTTTGTTTTAATCAACTTACTTTGCCCTCACATACCAGTGCAAGGTGGTTCACAACTCTTTAATTAACGCTTCCGCTACTACACCAACTCTACCCAGAGTTCACCCCTGCAAAGATCCTAGGGGCTTTTCAGCCCAACAAGTACAAGTCCACCTTGGACATTGTCACCAGCTTCCACTCCACCCTTGTCAATAAAATGCTAGTTACAAGCCACTTTGTACGAGTCCACCTTGGACATTGTCACCAGCTTCCACTCCACCTTTGTTAGATTCAACAAAACTTGACAAGTGTGCTTTGCTAGGGCGAGGGCTTGTATGCACTTGTATACTGAGTGACTCGGTGTTTGACCAGACCAGCCGTGTTTCCTCTGACTCCTTGTCTACTATTCAGAACTCGCAAAATCTTGTCCTCTGGCATGCCTCCACTCTATTTAATAGCAGAAAGATGTATTTGGTTCGGCCCGAGGTACTTGGTACGTGTATCTACCGTACCTTTCGAAACCCCTTCAGATGCAACAGAAAAAAGCCACACTTCGTTTCCAGCCTTATCACCATACACAATCAGCGCTCTCACTCCCAGTTGCCCAGAACCATGGCTGCACCATGGAGTTTTGAGACGTCTAAAAAGCACACCCTCACTCCCAGTCGCCCAGCACCATAGCTGCATCTTCTAGCACCACCACTGGCCCAACTACCACCTCTTCCTCCACCCCATCAACCCCATCCTCTTCCACCATCCCAGTAGAACCTACTTGACTAGGTGCCGCCCGGTTGAAGGATTCCAGAATGGCTCTCAGCCTGCTTGCTTCCTTTCCAAGCCCCTCAAACAGCCCCTCCTCCCCTGCCCTCCACCCCCACTGGCCCGCCTGGACAAATAGAAGGCAGCAGGAATGAGGGGAGGAGGGAGAAGCACATGAGGAAGAGGAACGATGCGCGCATGCCCATCGCTTGACACCCGTGCGCGTGTGCCCCATTGACACCTGCATCCTCCATTCATTGCTCTGCCGGGCAACATTTCTCGAGCGGCCCACAATACGCTGCCACTTGCACCTGAAAGCACGCCCTGTCTGTATCTCAGCCGCACGAGAGAATCAGGCCACCCTGAAGCTCATGTCCCGTTTGAGAGTTCTCGCAAGGGGTCAACCAGCAAGGAAGGAAACCCGGTCTAGCAGGGCCACGACACGCACGAGCGAGTGCTCCTGTCAGTCAGTTGGCTCCTGTCTGTCAGTTGGTGCTAGGAGGGGGAGGTGGGGCGAAGAGGGCGGACTGCCGGCGCTGCAGGAAGCGCCAGAAGGGCGTCCAGTTGCCTGGCAGCGGTGCTGCACGGTTGAACGCCACAAGCAGCATTCTCAGCCGTGCTGCCTCCCCGTCGAGTGAATCGAACAGGTCTGACTCTCCCGCCCTCCACCCCCATTGACCCGCCTGTGGAAGAGAGAACGGGGTAATATCGAGACATAGGGTGCTTGAGAACTGCAGGGGTGCGGTGCATTTGAATGCCATAAGCAGCGCAAATGTTCACTAGCACCTCCAATTTCGCCGTTAACCCTTCAATCCTTCAACCAATCTCAACCTGCAAGTCCCAGGCTCTCTACCCGCCTGCACGGCAGGCACGTTCGTTCATGCGAGCGCTGTTGTCCAGCCCCATCACGCACTGCAATGCACCTCTTCAGTCACACCTGTAACCACACGTGCACCTCCCACAACCCACCTGCATGGCGGGCACGTTCGTTCATGCGAGCCGAGTTGTCCAGCCCCATCACGTCCTACAGTGCGATCACAGTGGTGCCTGTGTGCGCTACAGCCAACACCTTAACCCCAACCTGAATCCATTACACCGTCAACTTCAAGCCCTACCTGCACGGCGGGCACGTTCGTTCATGCGAGCACTGTTGTCAAGCCCCATCACGTCCTACAGTGCGATCACAGTGGTGCCTGTGTGCGCGCTACAGAACAGGTGACACCTACAACTCCCAAGCCCTACCTGCACGGCAGGCACGTTCATGCGAGCAGAGTTGTCGAGCCCCATGACGTCCTGCAGCGTAATCACGGTGGTGCGTGCTACAGACGAGACTGCCGCCCGGATGATCGCCCACTGAATCTCCTCCTCCTCCTGGGGCGACAGACCCAGCAGCACGCGCACCTGGCATGGGGGGACGGTGGGAGGGGCCGAGCACAGGAGAAAGGGGCAGAGGTGGGGTTGCTTTAGGGAGATGGAAAGGCCCCTCATTGAAAAGTCCCCACCTCCTGGATGTTACAGACGATTAAAAAAGAATGACAGGACGACAGGGCAACAGGACGACAGCATGGCAGCATGGCAGCACGGCAGCACGGCAGCATGACAGCATGACAGCATGACAGTATGGCAGCATGACAGCAATACAGCATGGCAGCATGACAGCATGGCAGCATGGTAGCATGGTAGCATGACAGCATGGCAGCATGGCAGCAAGGCAGCATGGCAGCATGGCAGCATGGCAGGACTCACATTATTCTTCTCCCACTCAGGAATTTTCTCCCACCAACCAACGACCTGCACACGCAAGCAGACACAGACACACACACACACACACACACACACACACACACACACACACACACACACACACACACACACACACACACACACACACACACACACACAATACAGACAGAACGGTCACACATGCACGGACCAGTAGAGTGGACAGAAAGCTTTGAAACGTCTCCAAAAAGAGCACAGAACATGCACAAGCATGCCCAGCCCAGTCACCTGGAGAATGCATTCACCCACACACCCACACACAAACAGCAAGCATGTACACCAGCATCTGTATTTTTTAGTCGACTCATTTTTTAGTATATTTTTGAGTCGACTAATTTTTTAGTATATTTTTTAGTCGACTAATTTTCGAGTCTATTTTTGAGTCGACTAAAAGTTAAAAAACAGACAGCAAGCATGTACACCGGCATCCCCGCCTCATACTCACCGTGTCTTTGTCATGAGTGCTGGGATGCACCACTTGGTTCTGCCAGTAGGGTGGTATAGGTTCGCACCAAGTTGCTAAGCATACTATCTCAACGCCACTCACAGCATCCCCGCCTCCCACGCACCGTGTCGTTGTCATGAGTGCCAGGGTAAACTACTTGGTTCTGCTCGTGGTTGTTTTCAAGACGTCTCAGTAACCACTTACTCACTGTGTCCTTGTGTAACCACTTACTCACTGTGTCCTTGTGTAGAAAGTAGATTTTTGAGACGTCTCAAAAAGTAACCACTTACTCACTGTGTCATTGTCCTGCGAGCCTCTCACAGCATCCCCACCACCCTCTCACCGTGTCATTGTCGTGAGTCCCGGGGTACACCACTTGGTTCTGCTCGTGGTTGTGCGGCAGGTGAGGGTTCTTGGCGTCACTGCCAAACGCTGTGACAAGAATGGGGGAGGAAAAAGATGGGATGGGGTGGAAAGGGGTGCAGGCACGAGAATGTCATAATCCAGGTGCCTCTAGCAGAGAATGGGGGGTTCTTGGCATTGGAGAATGGGTGCTAAAGAATACTGCAAGGAGAAGGGTGGGTTGGAGGGACAACTAGCGTTGAAGTAAATTATACACCAGGGAGCACACCGAGCGACAGCCCTGAAGAGTAGCTTAAGTGGGTGACTGTAGCATTGACTCACCAAACTGTAGCATTGCCATGCCAGAAGTGCCTATGTCGGGATTTTTTCAGAAAACTCAAGACATTTTTAGGGCGCCTCAGACACCGTCAAGGACTCACTGAACTGCAGCACTGCCATGCCAGGAGCCTTGATTTCACGATTTGTTTTCCAGATGCCTCAGACACCGTCAAGGACTCACCGAACTGTAGCACTGCCATGCCGGGAGCGCCGATTTCACGGCGCAAATCAACCACGTCGACTGTAATCACACCCTGTTACAGTCACACATTGAAATGAGCGGGGCAATGGAAACAAAACTTGTTACAGGCACAAACTGGCGACGCACAAACTCATCAGAGCGTATTTTCTCTATCTACGCCTGGTAAACTCCCATTCTCCTACAGTCCCGTTCATTATTAGTCTCATTTCCTCCCCTCGTTCCCCCCCCCTTTACAGCTCTCCCCACCTTCCACCCTCCTATCATTGCTCGCCCTTGTCCTCAGCCACAATGTTGATTATTCTAAGCAACGCCTTCCGAATCGCCTAAAAAAGCGTTGCAAGGGTCTCTAACCTCTGCTAACCAGTAACATAGTCCTCTCAACTCCTCCCCACCCTCTCCCCACATTCCTCCCTCCTCCCAGTTCTCACCAAATCCTCAGCCACAATGTCGATGGGCTTGTCCACTGCCTTCCGGATCGCCTCAAAGAACTCCTTTCGCGGCCCCATCTGACAGACATAGGAAGAGCAACGCATGCATTGTGGTGAGGCGATCCTGGCAACATGACGCTCAATGGCGCATACAGCACGGCAAGATGATTGACGCTGGTTCGCGCAACGATCGTTTTATGAGACGACGAGGAAGGGGCTACATACAGCCTGACTGCATGCCAGGCAAAAGAAACGGATAATAAAGGGGCCTGCCACCCCATGCAGGCATCCGCATGTAAAGGATGAACACACACACACGACAAAAAAAGAGAGTAAAATATATATATATATATATATATATATATATCGAAGTTTCTCACCATCCAGCGGCCGTTCATGGCAGTCTCTGAATCAGCAGGGATGCTCCAGTAGCCCGCGAGCCCCCGGAAGTGGTCGATGCGGAACTCATCGTACAGGTCAAACGCCCTCCTCATGCGCTTCGCCCACCAGGAATACCCATCCTTGGCCATGGCTGGCCAGTTGTACAGCGGGCTGCAATGAGTGAGGGGACGAGGGAGGGAGAGAATCAGAGTTGCTGATGCCTACATGGTGCCATGTACTATGTAAGTCTGTGCTTGTAACACCATGTGTACATGACCCACCAGGAATGGCCGTGCCTTTTCGTGGAAGGGCAATTGTACAGAGGGCTGCGATAATGGGGTGCTGAAGACCCTGAGTAGCACCTACACCAGAAGAACCCTCTCTCTCTGCACCCCATCCCCACCCCCCACTATCCTCCCCTCCCTCTTTATCACCACCTCCCCCTCCCCCTCCGCCACTGGGCCGCCCCTCACCTGCCCCACAGCTGCCCCGTGGCGCTGAAGGCATCAGATAGCACCTACACGAGCTGCACTCTCACCTTCCCTCTCCCCTGCTGCTCACCTGCCCCACAGCCGCCCCTCACCTACCCCACAGCCGCCCCTCACCTGCCCCACAGCTGCCCCTCACCTGCCCCACAGCCGCCCCTCACCTGCCCCACAGCTGCCCCTCACCTGCCCCACAGCTGCCCCGTGGCGCTGAAGGCATCGGGCGGCACGCCACTCACGAACGTGGGCTCGCGGGTCTCAGGGTCCTGGTGGCGGGGAGAAGAAGGTTGTGGTGGGGAATCAGGGGTGATGAATGAGGGAAGGGATTGGCATGTACGGACTCGTATCACAAGAACGCAGGAGCAACAGGTCTTCCAGCACGAACGACCAACCAGCCGTGGCCTACCAGCACGATCAACCTACCAGCATGAATTGCTCGGGGTTGGCCCACACGTCAGCGCTGTGTCCGCCCACATAGATGGGCATGTCGCCCATAATGCTGATGCCCTTGCTGTTGGCGTACCGGTGCAGTGCCTGCCACTGCCTCTGGAACAGAAACTGCTGCGCCGCAAACTCGTCAATCTGTCATGCACACGCACGGTGGGAGAGGGTATTTGAATAAAATATAAGAGGGCCGATGCATGCAGTGCGTGCCACTGCCTCTGGAACAGAAACTGCTGGGCCGCGAAGTGTCGAACAGATATCTTTGCAGACTAAGGGAAATCCAAAGAGTGGGGACAATACCACTAGTGAGGATGCGCGTAGAAAAAATAAATCAAGAAAGAAAATGGTGGAAAATGCTATTTGGGAGAAAGTAAGCCATCCTACATGCTCTTCCTAAACACCACTCACGTATTCCCTGTGTCTCTCCCTCGCAGCAGCCAAGGCCTGTGGCTCTCTGTCCTTGAGCTCCTTGAGCCACAGCCACCAGAACTCCTGAAGCACCTCGAAAGTAGAACTTCCCACCACTTACGTATTCCTGGTGTCTCTCCTTGGCAGCAGCCAAGGCCTGTGGCTCTCTGTCCTTGAGCTCCTTGGGCCACAGCCACCAGAACTCCACCCCCTGCTCTTCGTCAATAGCGCTGAACAGAGCTGCTTCCTCCAACCATGCTGCCGTGGGAACGAGGGGGTTTGGATGGGGGAAAAAAGAGGACTGTGCTGAGCCTTTGGTTCGGGGGAGTGGAACCAGAACTCCACGCCCTGCTCTTCGTCGATAGCGCTGAACAGCGCTGCTTCCTACAACCATGCTGCCGTGGGAATGAGGGGGCGTGGATGGGCGAGAGGTGGGGCAGGAAGGGGGAAACGTGGAAGGCTGTGCAGCTGGAACTCCACCCCCTGCTCGCCATCATTAGCACTGAACAGGGCTGCTTCTTCCAACCATGCTGCGGTGGGGAGAAGAGGTGGGGGGGGGGGGGAGAGGAAGGGAGGGAGGAGGGGGGATTTTGGAATTGGGGAAAAGGGTGGACCATGAAGGGGGACTATAATTGGAGCCAAAACTGCACTCCTTACTCGCCATCTTTGAAGATTCCCACCTAGGAATGAGAAGACATAATGCACATGGAACGGTGACAAGGAGTGAGAGGAAGCGAATGGCACAGCCGGGACTAAAAAACGACTAGGATTTTGGAAGTTATCAAACGCCAAGCAGAGAGGGACCAAAACGAATGGACAGCTCAATAGGGACGAAGACGAACCCGAGATGGTGGGGGATTGCCTGAAGGCGTCAAACTCCGCCTTGAGCTCTCATTTGCTCCTCACCAGTGCCTTGGCCGCCTGGCACAGCAGAGGGTGGGGTGGGGGGTTGTGGCAGTGGAATGGAGTGAAGCGATTGTGGTTGTGGCAGTGGAATGGAGTGAGGCGATTGTGGTTGTTGCAGTAGAATGGAGTGAGGCGATTGTGTCTACTCACTAATGCCCATGTCTACCAGCTTGCCTGGTGCTCAGGAGTCGGTGTGGTTGTCGTATTGGAGTGTGGTGGACCATGAATGGCACTGGTAACGACATTAAAATCGCCTCAACATTGCCATGCGCCCCACTGCCACAAACCCTACAACCCTCCGCTGAGTGTTAGCCATGCGTTCGCTATGCTCGTATAACTTTTGAGAGTTCTCAATGGTGGTGAGATGAGAAGTGCAGCAGACCAGAGTCTTAGCCATGGGTTGAAGAAAGGAGGGCACGCACAGGGTGAGTGGGATGGGATGTGATGTGATCTGATGTGATGTGATGACGCACCTTGGCAACCGCAGGGTCCTTGTCTCCGATCACTTGCTTGTAGTCCAAACGCTGAACCGGGCTGTCAGGGAGGGAAAAGGAGTGGTAAATAAGGCGGTGGCGCGCGCTCGCAAAGGTGGGAGGGCTGGTTCCGTGGCGTGTGACGCAGGGGGGAGGATGTGTGCTGAGTTGGACAGATGGCAGCATACCGCTGTGGGAGGCAGGGTGAAAACCGGTTGGTCTACATTTGATCCATTGTGTTGTGTTTACCAGTTAAGTGCAAGCCGTGAGGGGGGCAGGGAGCATACCGCGTGGGGGGCAGGTCGGAGGGGTGGAGCAAGCCGTCTTGCACGAGCAGGTCGAGGGAGAGCAGCAGCGTGTTGCCGCAGTTGGCGTCCTGGCGGAGGGGAGAGGGGCGTGGGGAGCGAGGATTGAAGAGTGGACATTTGAGGCACCTCAAAACAAAAGTCGCAGGTCGGAGGGGGCGAGGAGGCCGTCCTGCACGAGCAGGTCGAGGGAGAGAAGCAGCGTGTTGCCGCAGTTGGCGTCCTGGCGGAGGAGGGAGTGAGGAATGGGGAGTGGGGAGTGGGGAGGAGAGAGGAAAAGCAGGAAAAGCGAAGGCGAGAGAGAGAGGGCGAGAGGTGGAAAGTGCAGGGACGATGAGGAAAGATGAACAGGCCCAGGCCTGATCGGCCCACATTTACAGTCCAGGCGTGACCTTGAAAAATCTGTACCTGACCAGCATAGGCACGGCCGTACCTGGCCAGCATTGAGACTGCCGAACCTGGCCCCGTACCTGGCCAGCATAGAGACTGCCGCACCTGATCAGCGTAGGGACTGCCGCACCTGGTCAGCGTAGGATCTTGAGACGTCTCAAAAGTCAGCATAGGGAATGCCGTACCTGGCCAGCATAGGGACTGCCGTCTTCGCCTGACTTCCTTCCAGGTGGCACCAGTGGCAGCACCTGAAATAACATCAAACGGAAAAAGCGCACACGAATGGTCAGAAAATGCACAGGATTGTTACAAAGTGCCCCAGGAATGAACTGAAGTGTTAGGGAACGGTCAGAATTCCGAAGCTCTAAGAGATCTTCAGACACTCACGGATCCACGCTCCCACCCATCCATCCACCCATCCATCCACACATCCACGCCCCCCAAAACCACCCACGCACCCACCCACTCAACCCCCCACACACCTGCCAGATCGTGCATGCCTCGAGCCAACCAATCAATGAAGTGTGAAGCATTAGAGAGCAAAATTCGCACGCTCTGAGGCATCTCCCACGCCCCACGCATCCGCCCACCAACCCACTCTCCCATCCATCCATCCACCCACCCACCCACCCACCCTCTCACCCTCCCTCACGCACCTGCCAAATCGTGCAACCCGAGGACTCGAGCCAGTCGAGGAAGTGTGAAGCAATGGTCAGAATTCGGAACGTTCATGGACCCAGCCACCCACGCACCCATCCATCCACCCATCCACACATCGATGCACTCACCCACACATGCACCTCCCTCCCCACGCACCTGCCAGATTGTGCATCCCGTCGATTCAAGCCAGTCGAGGAACCTGAATGCGCCGGGACCCAAGTCGCCCGTGCCATGCGGGCTTTAGTGAGTCAACTACAAAATTCCCACGCACCTGCCAGATTGTGCATCCCGTCGATTCAAGCCAGTCGAGGAACCTGAACGCGCCGGGACCCAAGTCGCCCGTGCCATGCGGGCCGGGAAGCGACGTGGGATGCACCAGCACGCCGCATCGTCGCGCCGGGATCAGCGAATACGGATCCATCCTTTCGTAACCCTCTTGTAACGGCTCGCCAGGAAGGATTTCGCTGCTCTTCGCAGCAGCGGGGGTCGCTGCTGGTTCGGTCGCCATCGCTCGGACAGACTGGCGATCCGCGCGGCAAGATCGAGACGGGGAGCGGGAAATGGGGAGAGGGATGCGGAGAGGCGCGAAGGTCGCTGGCGAGGCGATGCGAGAAGACGCTGATCGGAGGCGGGAATTCGACGAATCAACGACTGAAGACGCGACCGATGCGACGGATGCGACGTGCGCGACGGGAAGCCGCAAGGCGGAAACCATGGCTGTGCGGATCGCTGACTCGCGCGGATGCACAAAAGAACGAGATCAAAGCAGGATTTCTTTCTGAGACCAAGCTGAAGGAGAGTCCGAGCCAGATGGAGTGACCAAGCTAGAAGGTAATCAGGCTGGGTTGGCGACAATATTGAGGTGGTGCAATGCAGCCAAGGTTTCCGAGATTCAGGCAGGCTCCGAACCGAACCCAACTGGAATAAACCGACAGGCCTGGCGGGAACTGTAGATCCCAAGGTGGTGAAGTCCAAACCAAACCTGGTGGATCCAGTTTCCGATTGGTTCATAAACAAATTGACGGCGGCTTACCACCCGCGATTTAAGCAGACCCAGCTACAGATCCAGCGTAGTGCTTTAGGCTGAACTTTAATGTAGAACACTCAAACATGGTGATATAAGAAAAGACACTTAAAAAGGGGAGTGCAATATAGGCCCGAGACAAGATGAATACTAACCAGCTCACAAATGAGAGAATACTAATCCCCCTTACGTTGAAAATCAGTACCTAGTCTTGTCCTTTCCTTCTCCCCATCCATTCCAATCCAACTCACTTCCCCTCCCGTTCACACTCGTACTGCTGTTACTGTTCCGACCCTCCTTACCCAACCAACTGCCAGGTACTTTCTCATTTCCACTCCAACCCTCTTCCCACCTCGTCTCCCCCTCTCCACCATCACCTCTTTGCAACCCCATCTCCCACCCTTGCTTCTCCTCCACCCTCCCATACTGATCCTCGCCTCCCACCCCAGAGCCACCAGCCCACTGCGTGGCATCGCCCTCCTGCCACCTCCTCTCATCCTGCCATTCCCCATCGCCTGATCCTTGCCAGCTCCCAATCCTTCTGTAACCCCTGTCCTCTGGTTCAGCTCCCCCCTGCCTTTCCCATTCCTGCCATTGCTGCTGTTGCTGCTGCTGCTGCTGCTGCTGCTGCTGCTGCAGTGCCCATTGCTCTCTGTCTCTCCAATTCCCCTCTGTGCTACTGAATCCCCTAGCCCCACCACCACCTTCCCTGCTCTCCTTCCCCACTCTCTCGGGACTCCCAGGGTCAATCTCCCCTCGGATAACGTCCAGCTGGTACCGAACCCACTTCCATGCCTCCGATGCAATCCCCGAACCTAACGCTGAGTCACTCCCAATCCCCAAACCTGGGCCCAGAGTGTCATCCCAAACCTGTGGCTCCTTCCTCCTTTGAGAATTACTGCTCTGGAACTGAGACCACTGCTCCTGTGTCTGCTGCTGTCGCTTTTTCTGACCCTGCAACTCCTCGTTTACGATCGGCCGAACCGAGAGCTCCAGGAGCGCCGAGCCTAGCTCCAAGAACGGCGGGCCGAGCGTGTTTCGGAGGGTGGGTGTGAGAACCACAAGTGCCGCGAGGGAGAGGAAGAGCAAGGGGCGGTCGAAGAGCAGTGGCAGGAAAACCAGCACGAGAGGCACCCCCCAAGGGATTGAGGCCAGCATCTGAAGGAGGAGAACAGGGAGGGAAGAGCGGAGGGGAGAATTAGTGGGAAGCAGAGTGACCGGGGGACGAAGGGGAGAGGAAGAGCAAGGAGTGGTGGAATCGCAGTGGCAGGAGAACCAGCACGAGAGGCACCAAACTGTTATGGGCTTGCCTCTTTCAACGGTTCAAGAACATCGTTGCCGCTCTCCACTCCCCCTCCTCCTGCTCCTCCTCCCGCTCCTCTTGCCCCTCCCATTTCTCTCTCCGCTGCTCTTCCAAACGGTCCGTCGCTGCGCCCATCCAACCTGCTACTCCACTCCTCTGCACCGCCCTCCAAGCCTCTACCTTCCATCTGCATTCCCCCGCTGCTCCTTGGATCACGTGCCTCGCCACTGGCACGGCCGAACGCGTTATACTCACGCCCATTATAGTAATAATTGTTATCATCGCCTTCCTTGCCATAATCGCGTCGTACGGAATCCACCAGCGGGAATCGACGCTGCTGCCATTCCGCGGCGGGGCTTTCCCCAGCATCTCCGCCACCCAAGTTCCGCCCCATCCCCCGCTCCGCAACTCCGCCGCGTGCGCTCACCACTGCGCCATCCCCCATCCCCGACACCCCTCTTTCCCTCTCGCTACCCCGGCCTTGGGATTGCAGCGACGGAACGGCAGCACCGCGAGATGCTTCGTCGCCGTTCCGATCGGACGGTCGTCGTCTCCAGCCCTCCGCATTCGAATCCCAAAATTCCCTTCTTCCGCCGCCATTGCTGGTGCTGCTGCCGCCGCCGCCGTTGCCGCCGCCGCTGCCGCCGGTGGCCCTGACAGCTCTAAAGGAGCAGCCTATGGGGAGAAGTGAAAGATGGCGAAGGCAGGGTATGGACGGAGAAGCATAGTAACCCATCTGAGCCACACGGAACATGTGAGAAAACTGGAATTAGAACAAAAACAAATTTTTTTCTATTTTGTAATTGTCGACAACCTCAACAAGTCGGTGTAGTTTAGTGGTTAGAATCCCACGTTGTGGCCGTGGAGACCTGGGCTCGAATCCCAGCACCGACAGTTTTGCTGCCATGTTGAGCATGGTCGATCATGCAAAATAGATCATTCACCCTGTTGGGCTGAGAAAAGCCCGTAGGATCTTTCAAGGCTAAGATCGGGGTTGAAGTAGGAATATTGTAATTGCGGAAGCGTTTAACATCAGAGTTGCTTGAACCACCTTGTACTAGTGTGTGAGAACAAGATAAGTTGTTAATAGCAGAGAAATACAATGCTTTTATATGATTACAAAGGAATATGAAAGGTTCTACTTTTAACTGTTTTGCTGTTGCGGTTCGATACAGTGCCGACTCGGGTAACTGCTCAGTAGCGAGTCAGTTATGTGTCCTTGCTGTCGCACTGTACTTTTCGTCAAGTCAAAGGTCAGCGACCTTTGACCTTCGCGTAACCTCCAGCGGTTGTTTTGTTGACTCGTGTGATTCTTCGCTGTAGTCCGCTCCGATTCGTGTCGACACTTCGATACTTCAGAAGCGTTTAACTTACTTGTTTCCAAGACACCCAACTGATATCACCATACCGTCATCACCCGGATATAAGACAGTGTTGAATAGTAGACAGGGGTTGTCTACTATACGGGTGTCTGTCAGAAGTAGTAGGAGTACGGCCTAGGCTTAGTAGCCTAGGCCACAGTAGGACTAGTAACGAGGAGCCAAGTACGAGCTAGAATTGTGTGCAGGAACAGAATTGAGAAGGAAAGATTGAACTAGCAAGCAGCAGGATACAAATAGCAAACCCTAAGGGGCTGTACTCACTATAGAGTACCCCACTGCAGGCTACACAAACAACATATTCTGACACACCCCCATAGCCAAAGTGGGGTGTAATCAGCACAATGAGCAGTCATAGCAATAGTTCATAATTATCAGCAAAGCTAGAGGCTATCACAGAGGGCAAGTGAGGAGGAGGAGGGACTATGAAAGGAGAGAAGATGGGAGGCGACGACTGAAGCTGCAGACACACGGGCAACAGAAGCGGCTGACACAGTGGCGGCTGACACAGTGGCTACCGAGACAGAGCGCCCCGGAATACTGGAGTAACTGGCTCTGCGGCTACGACGAGCGGCAGAAGCAACGGACCCACGGGCGACTGGTGCAGCAGGCTCTCAGTGGCTACCGAGACAGTGCGTCCCGGAATACAGGAGTAACAGGCTCTGCGGCTGCGACGAGCGGCAGGAGCAACGGACCCACGGGCAACAGGTGCAGGGGGCTCTCTGAGCTACCAGGACAGTGCGCCCCGGACTACAGGTGCTGCGGACGACAAGACAGCAGCCTCCACTCAACCTCCCCCAACAGTCCCACACCCCTCTCACACACCCCCTGCTTCACCCCTAGCTCCACTCCCACATCACCCCCCTAGTGCCACTCCCCACGACTCCCACACCTCCACCCCCCTCAGCGGCAGCTGCAGCAGTGGGAGACGAAAAAGGAGGAGGGGAGAACCCACACCTCTCACCCCCATGCTCGCCACCCCACACCCCAGCCACCGCGGAACGCACGGTGGAATGGGAGCAATGGGCAGCACCGGGGGGGGGGGGGGGACGGGGCGGGCTTCTGCAGAGGCGGCTCGCGCGGGTCCTGGGGCGGCTGCTGCAGGTGCGGGCTGCTCCAGGGGCGGCTGCTGTAGGTGCGGGCTGCTCCAGGGGCGGCTGCTGCAGGTGCGGGCTGCTCCAGGGGCGGCTGCTGCACTGGCGGGCGGCTCCAGGGGCGGCTGCTGCAGGTGCGGGCGGCTCCAGGGGCTGCTGCTGCAGTGGCGGGCGGCTCCAGGGGCGGCCGCGGGGGGGGGGGAAACGCACGGCCCCCAGGGCGCCCCGAGGGGCGACGAGAAGGGAGCCGCGCGGCCCCCCCCGGGCCGCCGCGACGGGCACCAGGGAGGGCGCCGCGACGGGCCCCCAGAGCCACCTCGACGGGCGACGGGGAGGGCGCCGCGCGGGCCCCCCGAAGTCGCCTCGACGGGCGACGGGGAGGGCCGCGCACGGCCCCCGAAGTCGCCACGACGGGCGACGGGAGGGGACCGCGCGCGGCCCCTGTGGTCGCCACGACGGGCGACTGGTGGGGAGGCCGCGCAGGCCCCCGAGGTCGCCTCGACGGGCGACGGGAGGGGAGGCCGCGCGGGTCCCCGAGGTCGCCTCGACGGGCGACGGGGGGGGAGGCCGCGCGGGTCCCCGAGAGCGCCTCGACGGGCGCTTCGACGGGAGGGGACCGCGGAGGCCACCCCAAGGGCACCACGACGGGCGCCACGGAAGGGAAAACCGCCAGGCGCCCCGAGCGCGCGGCGGGCAGAAATTAGGGTTTCGCCGCCGCGCACCACGGGGCGCGCGGCGGACAGTACGGCAGCGGAAGCGGGTGGTGGGCCCATACACAGGAAGGCGGCAGACATGCCGCCCTCTGATACCATGTCAGAAGTAGTAAGAGTACGGCCTAGGCTTAGTAGCCTAGGCCACAGTAGGACTAGTAACGAGGAGCCAAGTACGAGCTAGAATTGTGTGCAGGAACAGAATTGAGAAGGAAAGATTGAACTAGCAAGCAGCAGGATACAAATAGCAAACCCTAAGGGGCTGTACTCACTATAGAGTACCCCACTGCAGGCTACACAAACAACATATTCTGACAGTGTCTCTTATAAACAGGCTAGCCTCATTATAAGACACATATTTGTGTGTATGAGATAAGACATATATGTCTTATAATCGAAACTTCAATAAATTATAGCGAAAGTTGAAGTACCGCGTACTTTTTTACCCTTGCGAAGCGCGAATTCTTCCACGCGCTGACCCAGGACCTACCAAATTTGCCCCTGCAGGTGTTCTCCATAACGTGGCGTCTCGGGCAGAGGTTGTCGAAGTGGCACCTTCGCAACATCCACACGCATTATGAGAAACTCTTTTTAAAGAAGTACGAAAATATTTCCAAGTAGTTTAAAAAGTTTCCATTTATAAGATTTATAAGACACCCTAAACCATCCCGTTTACAAGATAACTCAAGCATTTTTGCCAGTGTACGAGATAAGACATATATGTCTTATATCCGGGCGATGACGGTAATTGTCAGAATCCCAACCACTAGACCATTGGGATAAAAGGGCTTGTTAAGTAGCGGGTCAGTGCGCCCATAACCCCCCAGGACAACGAGCCTGTAACCCTTCCCTAGGATCAATCGGGGATCACCAGTGGACCTCTGACACCCTCCCGCACTGGGATGCCCGAAGTGCACACACTGGGATTCGAACCCGAGACCTTCGCTCTGATACCATGTCAGAATCCCAACCACTAGATTATTGGGATAAAAGGGCTTGTTAAGTAGCGGGTCAGTGCGCCCATGACCCCCCATGACAACGAGTCTGTAACCCTTCCCTAGGATTAATCGGGGATCACCAGTGGACCTCTGACAATAATTTCATCCACAACTTTCATAACGTTTCAAAACCCTGCCAAAGTTCGACCCTGCGCAGGTTAGATCAAGCTTCGAGGTGAAGCGCCCCTTAGTGTGTGAGATGGTTCACTGAAAAGGTTGAATCTGTTTGTGATACTCATTTGTCAGAGTATACATTTGTCAACGGGGTTTGGGGTTTGTATAGTGTGCCTCACAGTTTTGGGGCAACTTTTCAAGTTCCTAAGGATTTTGAACCCCTCCTCTAAAATGTATACCAGTACCATAGCTTTAAACATGTGTAAAAAGTGCCTTTGCATGTGTGAACATCATTTTTGTATGTGTAAAAAGTATGTTTGCTTTGCATGTGTGAAAAGTGCTTTTGCATGTGTGATATGTGTTTTTGCATGTGTGAAATGTGTTTTTGCATGTGTGAAATGTGTTTTTGCATTTGTGAAATGTGTTTTTGCATGTATGGCAATAAACTCCGCATTCACTAAAGACCAAGACAGCACCAGGCACGGTACGACAGAAGCAACAGCACCAGGAAGAGAGTGTGATGCCTAGAGCAACATGGAGCACATATCGCAGAGGAAACTGGCGGGAGGCTCAGCGAAACCCGCACAGCGAGTGTGTTGCCACACTTCACACCTGGTGGTGTGATGGGATGGGAGCAGCGAGGAGAGAAGAGTGGGAGAGAATTGAGGAAATAGGCAGTAAGAAATGGAGAGGGGAGGGAGAGGGACGAGGGAACAGAGACGAGAGGACTGCAAAAAACTATCTTATGGAAGAAGGATGTGGACAAACCGCCCAGACGGAGGAGCGGAGGGATAAAGAAAGAACTAGTGACGGGTTTCTGCCTACGTAACAACTCTTTACAAGCTCCATGCACCCACAGAGAAGCCCAATAGTCGCACTGACCAGTCACCATCCACAATCTTTTCCACTGACAGGCCCCACTAACTTATCACATGCCACCACCGGTCCCACTGACCTATCACACGAGCCACCTGTCCCACTCACACATCACCTGCCACCACCTGTCCCACTCCCCTATCAAAGACAGCCACCTGTCCCACTGACCTATCACATGCCGCCACCTGTCCCACTGACCTATCACATGCCAACATCTGTCCCACTGACCTATCACACGCTGCCACCTTTCCCACTGACCTATCACATGCTGCCACCTGTCCCACTGACCTATCACACGCCACCATCTGTTCGCCGTCGTCATCCCTCGTGCCACAGCTGCACTCCACCACCCACCCCTCCGAGCCTCCCTCCCAGCACAGGTCCGAGCCTGCATCCATGCCTGAGCCCCGGACCAGCAGAACACAGCGAGGGCTGAGGTTCGGCCGAACCAAGGCCGAGGGCTGTACATGAGCCAGGAGGGGAAGCTGAGATACACTGAATCTGGACATAGCACAGTAGGTATCCCTGTGGGGAGAGGAGTTGAAAGTCCGAAAGGAGGGGGAGGAAAGAGGGAGAATGAGAGGGGTGAGAAGGGAGGAGGAGTGTGGAGGGAAGGTTATGTTCAGGAGGCTTATATACAGAGGTATTCAGGAATAGACTGGTTTACATGTTTTTTCTTTCTCAATCTGTAACGCTCCCAACCTTGCCTCATAGTCCCTGCCATACACAAGACCCTCAAACTCCTTGTTGCCATACTCGATACCCCTTATTGCCTTACCTCAAGGTCCTCTCTATCGCTTCGCTGAGTTGTGCCACTGTAGCATCAGTGGGCACCGCCACGTATTCAACCGGTATCGGCCCCAGCCGCCTCTGCCTTGACACAGGCTCCGCCCCTCTTGCTGCCACTGCTGCTCGTGCTCCTGCTGCTATTCCTGCTGTTGCTTCTTTTGCTCCTGCTGCGATTCCTGCTACTGTTGCTTTAGTTGTTGCTGTTGCTGTTGCTGCTGCTGCTGCTGCGGGCACTGTTGTTGTCACTGCTGCTGCTTGCACAGCACCGCCCTTCTCGCCTGTTCCAGGCTCTGCCAGAACTCCAGTGATCGATTTTCCACCTGCACTTCCTTCAACTTTCAATGCAGCAGCCTCTCTCTCCTTCCCAGCTCTTTCCTTCCTCTCCCCACTCCCCTCCCTCTCCTCCTCGCTCTCCTCCACCACCACTCGAAACGCCACACACATCAACCCATCCGCTTCTCTTACTCCCACTCCGCGCCCCTCTCCCCCCCAGTACCCCTTCACCAGGTGCTTTGTGTCCAGAACCACCCGCACCAACGCCAGCAGTCCTTCAGCAGCAACGCTGCCACTGCTGCCACTGCTGCCACCGCTGCCACCGCGACCACCGCTGCCATCACGTGTGGTGGGGTCGCAGTGGCAAGCACTGGGGGAATAGAAGCCCCCAGCGTGGTGGGGGCCCACTTGCAGATGCTTGGCAGGGTAAAATGGCCTGGTAGAATGGGTGGGGGGAAAGGGCATGCCAGCACGGGTAGGAGGATAGGGCCTGGCAGTGGCAGTATGGGTGGGATGGACGCGTCTGGCAGCTCCTTCAAGGAGGTTGCGGTAGAGGTAGCGCAGATGCGGCTCCACTGGGCTGCTCGTTGCTGCCAGCGTCACCACTGCCGCACCCTGCTGCTGCTGCTTCTGCTGCTGCTGCTGCTGTGGCTGGCTTGCATTTTCTTCCCCAGTCATAGGAGCAGCAACTGCTGCTCTTACGTGACCGAGAGTAGAAGGAGACTTGAAGGCCTGCATTTTGCTAAGTGCCAGCGCCCTGGGGCACGTGCCCTTGCTGTAATGCTTCCCTTCCCCACCTTTCCGTTTCTCCCCTGCCTCCCCTTCTTCCCCACTACCTACTTCCCTGTGTGGTCCTGCCCCTGCCCCTGTCCCGCCCTCAGCCCCGAACCCAGTGAGCTGAGGGCCCCAGGGGGTCGGGAGAGGAGCAGGAAGCTTCGGAAACATGTCAACATATGTTGACACTGGCGCGACATGCTGCTGAGACGCCTCAAACGGAGGTGAGACAGAGGCCTCAACAGAACGTGGGATTGGATGGGCTTGGGCTCCCCCATAGCAGAGGCTGGGTTGGAAGGCAGCGAGCTCTGGGGGAATGGGGGGAGGTGCAGGAGGGCCAGTGGGGCAGGCTGATGAGGCTGCTGCCTCTTTACTCCCTCCAGCAGCCAACGGAGTGGGACGTATGGGGCAACGATCCGCCTGCTGGAATTTTGCATCTTTATCTGCATCTTCTCGCCCCCTGCACTGCAACAAACCAGCAAAATTCTCCACAAGAGTAGCAGCAGAGGCTGGGCTGGGCTGGACTGCCTCCTCCATAGCATCCCTTTTTACAGTATCCTCTTCAGCAGAATCAGAACCTGTCCTCTCTACACGCAGCCCTCTTCTTTCCACTAAGCTACCCTCCAGCCCAGCCTCTGCTGGCACTTTAGCCGAGTCGCAAGCCATTCTCACCACTCTAAACATTTCGCCACCCGCCAAACGCTTTACTCTCTTGCACTCCTGCTCCTCACATCCCTTGCCTTCTCTTCTCCCCTCCCCCTTCTCCACCCCATCCCTGTGTCTCCTCAGCCTCTCGTCCCTCCCTCCTTTCCGCTCCTTTCCCTCCTTCCCTTCCAACTGCTCCCTCCCCTCCTTGGTTCCTTTTTCTCCCACTTCCCCCTTCCTTTCCCAGTCCTCTTGCACCCCATAGTGCACTGCCTCGGTTTTCACCCTCACTCTCTCCTGCCCTGCACCCGTCCTCCCCACTCCTGCCCCCTCTCTCTCTGCAAGCTCCCCAACCTCATCCAAAGCCAGACTTCGAACTCCATTCCGTGGCCCACTGTCACTCCACTTCCCACTCCCTTGCCCACTCCTCTTCTGACTACAATCCTCCGCCCCAATACAGCTCTTCTTGACTTCTGGGATCCGACTGCAATCCGCTTTTGCTCCTGATGTCAACATCTGCTTCTGCACCCGAGCTTGTGTGTGCGGCTTGTCATCTGGAGCAGCAGCACCAGCCACGGCAGCAGCGGCAGCAGCAGCAGCGGCAGCAGCAGCCACAGGTAGAGTAGCAATCCCACCATCCTGACCAGCATCCTCCACTCTCCGATCTCTGCATCCAACCCACGGCTTTCTCTCCTCTCTCTCCCGCCCGTGGGTACTCTTACCTTCCCCGCCGTCCTCTCCTGCCTGTTGCAGTGTTGCCTGCATAGACTTGCTCTTCTTCAAATGTTTCGGCTGCTGCTGCTGCTGCTGCTCCTCGTGCCCTCGTCTCTTCTTCGAAGCAACAGGCAGCAGCAGACTCTCCTCTGCTAAAGAGATTTTTCCAGTCTCACAGCCTTCCCTGTTCCTCAAGGGACTCAGAGCACGTTCCCTCCTCCTAATGAATTCGTTCTCCCTCCTCTCACTCAGTGCAGCCTCTTTTCTCTTCGCACTGCAACTCGCCTTCCCTTCGCCACCACAACTATCCTCTCTGCCATTCCTTCCATTCACCCCTGCACTCTTCACATGCGCCGTCTCCGCTGGCCGTTTCAACTGCTTCTGTACACTACTCAATTTCTCGGAACCCTTTCTCTCATTGTCTGCTCTTTCACCAAGACAAGCAGTTCCTCTATTTACAGTCTGCCTGTCACCCAAATCAGCAGCGATTCGCTTCCCGTTCCGTCTGCCTGCTACAGAGTTTCCAGTTGTTTGAAAACTCTTCCCATTTGGTCTCTTCAGGGAACCCGTGTCAGCAGGTGACACCTTCGACATGTCTTTCAAGCTACATTCCCTGCTTTGGAACAACTCCCTCTTATCCACATTCGCAACTCCTATTCCTCCATCTGCACCTCCCTTTCCACCATCTGCACCCCCCTTCCCTCCATCTACACCGCTCTTCGCTCCATCTACACCGCCCTTCCCTCCATCTACACCGCCCTTCCCTCCATCTGCACCGCTCTTCCCTCCATCTGTATCCCCCCGCAGCGCCCATCGCCTCCCTTTCCGCCCACTGCCCTCATCCACTTCCCCTTTATCCACCATCACATCCTCCTCCCAACCCCATTCCTCCTCCTCCTCTTTCTCTTTTCCTCCCTCCCCCTCCTTCTCCTTCTTCTCCTCCTTCTCCCCCTTCCCCCCTTTCTCCTCATTCTCCAGCCTCTCCTCCCCCTCTTTCTCCTTCTCACCCCCCTCCGTATCCTCCTCTTCTAGAACTCCCGCCGTTGCCCTCAGGTCGTACCTTCTCCTCATCATTAAACCATCCGTGCATCTTCTCTCCCACTGCTCCCTTGAGCACTTCTCTGCTTCCCCCGCTTCCCCTGCCTTCCCCGCTTCCCCTGCCTTCCCCGCTTCCCCTGCCTTCCCCGCTTCCCCTGCTTCCCTCACTTCCGAAGCTTCTTCCGCATCCTGTGCTTCTCCCTCCTGGTTGAAGCCCTTTAATGCCATCCCCATTGCACGCAACACGTGCTCCTCTTTCCCCACCTCTTTCACCTCCTCCTCTTCCTCCTCTTCTACACCCTTCACATCTTCTCCCACTGCCCCTCCCACTGCTGCCCCCCCTGCTCCTCCCCGTGCTTCCACTCCTCTCATTCCCCCAGCTTCTCCTCGACTCACAAGCCATTTTCCTCCCCTTATTACTCCCCCATATGAATCTTTCTCTTCACCTCCCTCTGCTCTAAGGCGTTTAGACGGAATGATGCTAATACCAGACGACCTAACGGCGTCTCTTCCTTGTCTGCTTCTGGGGGAGGTGACATCTCTGCCTGCCGTAACCTTGCCACTTTTGGCACCTGGGATTCCAGGTAAACCATCAGGTGCTTCTACAGCATTATTCAGCCTACTTCTACTGTCAGGTTTTTCTGCTGGAAGGCCCACGTTCGGGCTATCTCTAAGCGTCACGTTACTGACGCCTCTATCAGCAGCAACGTCACTTTCCGAGCCTGCATTTACCCCAGCACTTCTGTCCCGCGCCTCTCTTTCAGGCTTCACCCAGACTCTGAAGCTAGGCTCGGCAGTCAGCGTAGGTACCGAAGCTGTGCCGAGCCTGGTCCGGGGGGAAAGCGGGGACGGTTCGTGAACTTGACTCTGCCCCTTGGAACGCATTCGGGGAGTGAGAGGGGGTGGGCTCTTGAGGCCTGCGGAATGAGATGGTGAACGGCCAAGAGGCTGGGGCGAAGAAAGTGCATTCTCTGCTGTAACTGGGCTGGATAGACAGAGAAGCGTTAGCGGAGAGAGAGTAAGTGAAGGGGATGCTAGTGGGGAGGAATTTTGTGAAAGACGATGAGTCAGAGGTTGGGATGTCAGTGGAGTAGGAGTCAGCCCCCGGCTTAAGTCAGGTGACAGAGGGAGAGAGTTAGAATGTACACTGCTAGGAGTGGCATCGGCAGCAGGTTTGGCTTTCCAGCTGCCGATGCTATTAGCTGTAGCAGCGGCAGCTGTAGCAGCGGGAGCTGCAGCAGCAGTCTCAATGGCAGCAGCAGAGGCAGCAGGAGCAGCAGCAGGGGTGGCAGAAGGACGGGATGACAGCAGTTCGAGCATCAGCCTCAGAAGTTGGCCTAGCGTTTTCAAACTCTCGCCTTGGCCCGGTTGGGGGAGAACAGAATGCGGGCGAGTTGAGGCATTGGAGACAGTAGCATGGGGTGCTGTAGCGAGGACGGCTGTAGCATGGAGAGGTGGAGCATGGGATGGCTGTGGGAAGTGTATTGCTTGGGAGGTCATCGCCCCTTGGTCTGTTCTTGGTGCATGTGCGTCTATGTGCAACCCTGCTGCTGATGCTGCTGCTATCGGTGCTGGTAACCTTGCCGTTGGTGCCAATGCTGCTGCTGCTGCTGCTGGTGGTGGTGAGAACTGTGTTTTATTCAAATGAGGTGGTGCTGCATGCGTTGGTGAGACGGCACATGTCACTTGTGGTGTGTCGGGTGTACGCAGTGCAGGAGCGGGGAAGGGGCAGGTGTTGTTGCTGGCCCATGATTGATAATGCTCGATAATGGCTACCAGGTCCTGAAAGCAGAAAACAGGGAAAGCCACAAGACAAAAGGATGTCATCGCTCCACACTTCCCCCAGGAGAGAAAATAAAAAACTCTAGGCCAAAAACCACTCTAGGGAAGAGACCACTCAGCATATTAGCACTGCAATGCAGACTTCGTTATACTCACAGGGTCCAACCCCTTGTAGTGTTCTCCAATCGCTGCAAGCGGGGTCGCGGCCGCTGCTGCGAGTGCGTGCTTGTACACGACTTCAGTCACGCCGTAACACCCCTTGCCGAAGCGGTAACCCCACCGGCCGTACCACGAGTGGCCGTACGCCAGCCCATGCAGCAGACGCAGGTTCAGACCCATCTTTTTAGACATGTCCATGCATGTCACCTCCCTGTAGGGCGGAGAACGAAACATTGGGACGATGAACAAATGGTGATGTAAACAGCCTCAGAGTCTCAGCCTCAAGACACGCAGGTCCACACCAGACCCAGCTTCTTAGACATGTCCGTGCACGTCATGTCGCCTCCCTGTAGGGCGGAGAAAAATTATTGGAATGGTTGATATGTCAGTTGCCTCAGCCTCAAGTCACTCAGCTTGTCCATCATTGACAGACCATGCATGGCATGGCATCTCCTTGTGGGGCAGAGAGCACATGACAAAACACCATCCTTGCTCACCTAGCGTTGAGCATGGTGCAAATGCGGTCCCACAGGCCCATCAACTGCCGCCCAGTGACGAGGCGTGAGCCGCGTTCTCGGCCGTTGATTCGTAGGAGATGGCCGAATCCGTTGGTGTGGATCACTCCATGCAGCAGGTGCGTCTGAGACTCCAGTAAGGTCCCTCGCACTGCATCATGCCCACATGCAGTGCACCTGGAAAGGACCCACGGGGCAATGGAACATACGGTACAATAGCAGAGTCAATGAATCAGGGAATGAAGTACAATCAACTACCGTTTGGCGTCGAATGCGACACTGACCGTTCGGCATTCGAGGTCAAAAGAAACTCACCGCTTGGCGTTGGAGGCGATGACGGCGCTGCAGTTGGGGCAGAGCTTGCGGCCTTTGCCGATGCCCTGGCTGTTGTTCTCGTCCACGTCAGCCACAAGCGGAATGATGAAATGGTAGCGGTGCACTGATACAGGGTGGTGACTCCACCCTGCACAACCGGACATGAAAACGCGGAGTACACCCGCGCACACAGAAAAACACAGAACCACACACACACGCATGCACAAAACAAACTCATGAACACACACAAACACCCACACACACATCCACCCATCCACACAAATACACACGCACATACTCAGACGGCGATATGACCCGTGAGCACACAACTGTAGAGCCCACCCGTGACGGACATATGTACAACCTAAAGTACACACGTGCTACTATTTGAAGCACATACGCGCTACTATTTAACGCACACCGTTCAAGTTCAGAAGGTAATTCTTCCAAAGTTGATGCGCCTTCGCCATGCAACACATGCTGGTAAATAGATCTTCGCGTTACGTTCTGAGTAATTCCACACGCTTTTCAAGGTACTTTCGATTCTTGGGTAGAAAGTCGCACATACTTCGCTCCAACGGAATGACGTCATTAACTGCCTACTAACTACTAGGCGATTAGGTCCAGGCGCACCTGCCACGCGGCAGTTGTCGCAGTGAGCGCGGCCCGAAGCTTGCACGTTCTCCTCGAGTACACGCAAGCCGATGCGGTGGCCCTTGTCGTCTCGCAGGCGAATCGTCCATGAAGCGACACCCTCGATGTTACACGAATCGGGCTCTGCGAAATCGCGTATTAACTTCTGAACAAGTTGGCGAAAAGGAAATGGACCACGGGGAAAGTCCGCGGGACACTCATTGGTGCCGAAAAGCGCGAAAGAGAAGGCCCCGTGGACCTTTCGTCGCTTGCTTGCTTTGTGAAGTACCATCGTGAGCGGAACTGACAAGCTTCGAAATACGACTAGTGGTTGTTGCAGAAATTATAGCGGCATACACGCCATCATCGCACTCTAACCTGATGGATTCTAAGCTTCAAGCTGGAGACTGCAAGTGACGGGAACGAAAACTAGCGGGCAGCACGCGATTAGGGTTTCAGAGAAGGAGATGCAGAAATGCGAATCGGAGACTGCGTCTTTGACCTGTGGTTGGCTCATCCACTCGACTCGAGTCGACAAGTTCAAGGGTGGCTGCGACCTCGGGTTGATCAATGGTGGGCAGGAACACTACGGTAGGTGCCTCCGAGAGCACCAATCAGCTGTCTTGCCGCCTTTGAGATTCCCCGAAGCACCTCATTTGAAGGTTTGAGTAGCGACTCTGGGAACAAATGATACCAATATGTGTGGATTATGGTTGGATATGAGTAGGGATATTGAGAAATGCAATGAAAGCTTTGCCATAATTTCATAGATAAAATCCAGGACAGCATTCCTATCGGTTATTATATCAGAAAAGCGAAATATCTAGCCATACATGTGTTTCTGAGGGTAAAGCGAATCTGATTACAATAGCATCGTTAATAACCGCAGTACTCGTAACTTCTACATGAGCTAGTTGTACGCCATTATGTATATCATTTAGGAAGTTAGTCTGTATCACACCTACGTGCCCCATCGCTCTCCAGCCTCCATTGTCAAGGCAAGCCACCCCAAATCGTTCGCCCTCTGCTCACTTGGGAAAATATGCCATAAGTAACCAACTTGGGACTCGGTAACGTGAATGGTAAAAAAACGCGTACGGTCACTGTATCGGGGTTTCTGACGGGGGTCACGGATTCAGTCACTAAAAATAGGTAGAAAATCACGCGAATGGTCACACATGTAACTCCCACCAAAAAAACTTGAGACTCAAGAAAATTCCCGCTCGCGCCCAACCAATCTGCTAACTTCTAAAAAAACTAAAACCCAATCGGAATCGGATGCGGTTTGGGAACGGATCAACCCCAAACACCTGGCGACTTACGTGTTTAGGGTTGATTCATCCGAAAATGCATCCAGGTTCTTTTGGGGTTTCATTTTGTTTTGGCGGGAGTTTCATCTATGACCATTCGCTTTTTTTTTTACCACTTGATAGTGACTGATTACGTGAGAACGATCAGTGACCGTACCCTTTATTTTTTCACAAAATACATTATTGAGTCCCATGATGGTTACGAATGGCATATTTTCCCCTGCTCACTTCCCCCTATCCTCCCCCGCCTCTTAGGGTTTCATAGATTTGCCTCTGTCGGCTGCTAGTAGTTCTAGGCACGCAGCCTCATCCATTAGGTGATTATCTCCGAGTACCGCGTTCTCACGATCCAGTAGACGGCTGTTGTTTGCTGGTTAATGCTTCCTTTTGTTTGCCCTGAGCAAAAGTACCAGTTCGCCTGGTGTTTCTGTTGGAGACTAAATCATTGTGACGTCTGATGCACCAGCGGTTGCATTCGCGGGGTTGCTAGCTGCGGCCCGCGTGGCTGCTTCTCGCTCCCCGTTCTAACCGGCCGCATTATATTTTAAAAGCTTTCCCGTATCGAACTTATTTCGCTTCGACACTTCTTCTCATTTTAGCTCTTTAGGTTCTTAGCTTTCAACATGTTTCGGGGAGATCGGGGTATGGCGCAGCCCGACTCGAGCAGAGGCGGGGGGTCGAAGGACGCGAGGGGGTACCGGGAAAGAGACGTGGCGGGGGGCGCGGTGGGGGGCGGAGCGGGAATGGATGCGCACACGGGGAAGAAGCGCGGGGATGAGATGGCGATGGCGCAAGGTCAGGGAAGCAAAGGGGGCATTAATCCGCGCGATAAGGAGAGGCTTTCGGGGGTGCCGTCGTCCTCGCAACAAGCCGCTGTCGGCCAGGGAAAGGGTATGATGTGCTCGGGTTGCTGTTTACGTGCAAAGGGTGTGTGTGCAAGTTTTTGTTTCTTTTCGATGGGAGCGACAGTACGAGTATGTTGCTCGTCGTTGCCGTTTGTTGTGGTTGGTGCGGCTCGGAAGCACTAGAACATACTACTACTTCCGCGAAAATGCCCACTTGTATGCTCGTTTTTTTTTTAGGGCAAGTCTCAGCATTGTGCATTGCTTGTTATTGTTGCCCGACGCCATCCCATCTGGTTCCATTCGATGTATGCGCTTCCTCTGCGCTTTGGCTTTCGTCTGTGTCGCCGGTCTGTTCGATCGTGGTCATCCACGTCAGATCGAACTCAGGTTATCCGATCGACCCATAGAACGAAAATGGCTGTTTTGGAGAACTCGGAGGAATGCAAAAGAAAAGCACACGTTCGGTTCGTGTTCCGCCGTCGCCATTGCGCCATAAGTCCTGTTGCCGGTCTCCCCCCTCCCCGTCCCCACGCCCCTTTTTTCGGCAGTTCCTCCACCCTCCCCTTCTCCCCTTCCCATCCCTCGTCCACACATCCAATCCAACCCCTTCCACCCCCCCTCTCTCCCCCCTCCCCCCCCCCCTCCCTCCCCCCCTTCCTCTCCCTTCCGCCTCCACACCCACTTTAAAGATTTAGAGAGCGAGGAGTCGGAGGACGACACATCGTGGGTGCGTCGTTCTGCTCGCTCAATGGCAACGAGTGTTTGACCTCCTTCCCTCTGTTGCCTTCCCTTCCTTCCCTTCCCTTGTCCACACATCCAACCACCCCCCTTCCTCCCATCCCCTTTCTTCCCCCGACACCCTACGAAGATTCAGAGAGCGAGGAGTCGGACGTGAGCGACTCGGAGGACGACACGTCGTGGAATCATGGATATGTGGTCCTGCTCGCTCAAGGGCAACGAGCGAGCGAGAGTTTGATCCTTTTCCCCTCTGCTGCCCTTCGCTATCCGCGCGTGCCCCCTACGAAGATTCAGAGAGCGAGGAGTCGGACGTGAGCGACTCGGAGGACGACACGTCGTGGATCACGTGGTTCTGCTCGCTGAAGGGCAACGAGTTCTTCTGCGAGGTGGACGACGAGTACATTCAGGACGACTTCAATCTCTCGGGGCTCAGCAGCCAGGTGCCCTACTACGACTACGCGCTCGACCTCATCCTCGACGTCGAGTCGCCCACAGGTGCGGGGGGCGCGGGAGGCGCGGGGGAGAGGGGGTGGGGCGGGGAGATGGTAGGGGGGCGCGCGCGCCTGGGAATGGCAGGGGTTGAAGGCGCGCGGGTATGGGCGAGCGAGGGGACGGAGGGGCTCATGGATGGGCGAGGGAGAGGGAGATTGGGAGAGAGGGTGCGAAGGGCAAGGGATGGATCATCACGTGGTTCTGCTCGCTGAAGGGCAACGAGTTCTTCTGCTCGCTGAAGGGCAACGAGTTCTTCTGCGAGGTGGACGACGAGTACATTCAGGACGACTTCAACCTCTCGGGGCTCAGCAGCCAGGTGCCCTACTACGACTACGCGCTCGACCTCATCCTCGACGTTGAGTCGCCCACAGGTGCGGGAGTGTGGGGGGGGGGGGGGGAGGGGGGGAGGAAGGGGGAGAGAGAGAGGGTACGGCGAGGGGGGGGTTGAGGGGGCGCGCATGGGGGTGAGGGAGGGGGGAGTGTGAGCAGCCAGGTGCCCTACCACGACTACGCGCTCGACCTCATCCTCGACGTCGAGTCGCCCACAGGTGCGGGGGACGAGTGGGGCCGTGGGAAGGAGGGCGGGGTTGGGGGGGCGCGTGTGGGGGTGAGGGAGGGGTTGGGGGGACGCGTGTGGGGGTGAGGGAGAGGGAGTGTGAGCAGCCAGGTGCCCTACTACGACTACGCGCGCGACCTCATTCTCGACGTCGAGTCGCCCACAGGTGCGGAGGGAGGCGGAGGGAGCGGGAGTAAGGAAAGGAAGGGATGCGCGCATGGGGGTGGGGGAGGGGGGAAGGGGCGTGCTTGCCTGGGGGTGAGGCTGGGGGGAGTGTGAGCAGAGCAGCCAGGTGCGTAACCACTACTACGCTCTCCACCTTCTGCTGCCGACGTCGAATCGCCCACAGGTGCGGTGATGCGCGAGAGTGTGGCAGGTGCTCGTGGTGGGGGAGGGGATGAGGGGACACGCCCGCATGGGGATGGGGGAAGGGATGAGGGGTTGCGCGCGGGCATGGGGGTGGGGGAGGGAATGAGGGGGCACGCGTGCATGGGGTTGGGGGAGGGGATGAGGGGACACGCCCGCATGGGGATGGGGGAGGGGATGAGGGGGCACGCGCATGGGGGTGGGGGAGGGGATGAGGGGGCACGCGAATGGGGGTGGGGGAGGTGATGAGGGGACGCGCGCATGGGGATGGGGGAGGGGATGAGGGGGCGCGCACGCATGGGGATGGGGGAGGGGATGAGGGGGCACGCGCATGGGGGTGGGGGAGGGGATGAGGGGACGCGCGTATGGGGATGGGGGAGGGGATGAGGGGACGCGCGCATGGGGGTGGGGGGTGGGATGAGGGGGCACGCACGCATGGGGGGTTGGGGGAAGAGATGAGAGGGCGCGCGCACCCCCCACCTTGCAACCATACCATACGGGAAACGCAGGTGTTCTGCGTGCGTGCCCTTGTCCCCGATGCAACGCGGCCTTATTCCCAATGCAGAGTCGGTGGCGGGTGACGAATGTAAGGGCTGGGATTCGCACTGGGGTGGGTGGGTGGTTGGGTGGGGGCTTGTAGCTGCCAAGTTCTTTGTTGATCGAGTGTGTCGCGACTCAGTTCTGTGCTTTATTCAGTCATGGTTTCGCCCACAGGCAGGTGGGGACTTAGGTTCTGGAACGGGGTAGGCGGTGTGGTGCACAGCATTATCTGTTTTATTTTTTTGCTATGAAGTCGTTTTCGTTAGGCTTTAGATCCGTGTGTGATTCATCTCTACTCAATGGCATAAGCTGTCTGTGGTTACTGTTTTCTTCTCTGTTGGTGACTGTTTTCCAGATGACATATTGACAGAGGAGCAGCATGAGATGGTAGAATCAGCAGCGGAGATGCTTTACGGGCTGATCCACGTGCGCTACATCCTCACCACACGCGGCCTCAGTACCATGGTAGGCCTTCTGCATTACTTGTCAGAATAGTAGAAATCGAATTGTAGCCAGCCAGCGCATATGAGTATTCTGTTCCAATCGCTGCAATATATGCTCACCTTCGTGTTGGTTCCTCTACCCAATTTCATTCCCGTCCACCATCAGTTGGATAAATTCAAGAATGTCGATTTTGGCCGGTGTCCCAGAGTCTTTTGTTCCGGGCAGCCCTGCCTCCCCATGGGCCAATCAGACATTCCCAGGACAAGCACAGTGAAGATTTACTGCCCGAAATGCGAAGACATTTACTACCCGCGCTCCAAGTACCAAGGCAGTATCCTCCTCTGCGTGCCTCCTCATTTGAGCCTTGCACCCAAACTCCCATCCCCACCCCCTCATCTCATTACCCTTCTATTCTGACTTTGTTTCTGACTCCCCCTATCTATCTCCTCTTTCTCGCCTCCTTTTCAACCCTCTTTTTACTTTCACACTCTCCTCTCCATCGCTCTCCTGTTTTCTCTCCCTCTGCCAGCTGCTTGCATCAGTTCCCCTACTTCCATTCCACCCCCCTCGCATGCTTCCACTCTTCCTGCACGACCCCTGCTTCTAAATGGCGCTCTCCATCTCCTCAAGCCCTGGTTTCCTTAACCCATGTCGGCTCCTCCCCTTCCTGACTGCTGTTCACACCTTGTTTGCCTCTCTACCCTATCCTCGCCTTCCTCCCTCGTCCCCCCTCGCCCCTCTTTTTCTCCCACCCTGTTCCTTCCAACCCCCTCTACTCCAAACCCCTCCCCCCTCTCCTCCCAATCCAATTTCCTTCACTCCCTGCCTCTGTATCTGTCTCCCTCCATGTGACCCCTGTTTCCCTCCCACACCCCCTTCCCCTTCCACTCCTTCCTGCTATATTGTCCACCCCTGTTTCCTGTATTCCTTTGATCTTCCACCTCCCCCCCTCCTCCCTCCGTTCCTGCCCGTAAATCTATTAAACAACCTGCGCGACTCGGCCCAGACATCGACGGGGCGTATTTCGGCACAACGTTCCCGCACCTCTTCCTCATGACCTACCCTTATGTGAAGCCTGCCAAGCCCACCCAGAGCTACGTGCCGCGCGTCTTTGGCTTCCGCCTGCACAGCAGCGCCAAGTAGAGCCTTTGAGGCCGGTACGGTCGCGTCCAGGCCCTCAGATATCAGGCTTTTTACCCTGATTTGACTGATTTTCAGTCTTTTATTTTGTACCAACACTGTTTTTTCAGGCTTTTTTTTTTCCGACACTGATTTTTCAGCCTTCTATTCTTAGAGAACACTGATTTTCCAGCCTTTTTTTCTTAGCAACACTGATGGATCAGCGTTGTAACGAACCTCGACACTGAAAGCGAAAACTACAAGTTGCCTGTAGATTTCCCGGGAAATAGCAGGAATCCCAATTTCCCATGGTGTCAGCACCGCGTGCTGGTGACTACCTGACTGAAAAGCCCTCACGACACATTCACGCTATCATATGATGTGCTGGCGCGGTGTGTCACACCATTGGGCAGTTTCGGGGTTACCCATGAAGCTGCCCAATGGGGAGATGCTTTAGGGAATCGTGTTGGAAGACTGGCAGCCTTCCAGCACTGCAACTTGCACCTGCGTCGCGATGCGACTTCGTCGTGGTGGCAAGAAGTGATGCTCCCACAGTGACTCTGAATGCATGGGACGCCGCCCAGGCAGCATCACTGCTGCTGCTGCCGTAACTGCCGCTCCTGCTGCTTGCTGTCGTTCCTGCTGCTATGGCGACTCCCACTGTTCTAGCCTTTGACACAGTGGGGCACCCTCTAGGGTTCGACTCCTAACTAGAGGGGCTGCACCTGTACCTTGTCAGAGGTCCACTGGTGATCCCCGATTGATCCTAGGGAAGGGTTACAGGCATGTTGGCATGGAGGGTTATGGGCGCACTGACCCGCTACTTAACAAGCCCTTTTATCCCAATGGTCTAGTGGTTGGGATTCTGACATGGTATCAGAGCGAAGGTCTCGGGTTCGTATCCCAGTGTGTGCACTTCGGGCATCCCAGTGCGGGGGGGTGTCAGAGGTCCACTGGTGATCCCCGATTGATCCTAGGGAAGGGTTACAGGCATGTTGGCCTGGGGGGTTATGGGCGCACTGACCCGCTACTTAACAAGCCCTTTTATCCCAATGGTCTAGTGGTTGGGATTCTGACATACCTCCATAGTGTCACTCGCGACGACGTCTCACAGTTCGAGCATACGTCGGGGTCTCTTCAGGCCCCCAAGGCTCCTGCTGAGCCTGCTGCTGACGCTGGGGAGGAGGTGCGGATGCAGTTCCGCGCAGCTCACATTGCCTACAAGCGGTGGACGGCGCGAGACGCCGCCACCACACTTGCAGTCTGCCTTCACCTCTCCTTCGACCAGAGAGCCAACTTTCGACAGGTGCCGTCGGCCCATGCTATGTATTCCGCTGTGGTTAGGCACTACTCCCCCCCTCTTTCTGCAGTCCTAGGCTGTCTTGCGCTGCTTCTTACCTTCCCTGCGCTGTCAGACCTCATCACTGTAGCTAACGAGGGTGGTCGTAGTGGAGCTGGCGGGAGTGGCGGGGGCGGGCACCAGGAGTTAGAGCCTTCGTGTGTCGCTGCTTGTGCGCCTACTAGCACAATCTATGCGCACCCCTCCACTGTTCTCTCGTGTCTCGTAGTCCCTTCTGCCTCCTCTGGCTCGACCGAGGGGGGTGACCCTACTGCTTCCGACACAGCGACCTCTCGCCGCTCGCCGCGCTTGGAGACACCTCCAGGTTTTCCGCCTCGGACGTCTTCGCCTCCTCTGCAGCCTGTCGCTGCGGACTTTGGGGGCCCAGGTGTTGTTGGGGGTGGTGACGCTGGGGGTGCTGGTTCTGGGGGTGCTGACTCTGGGGGTGCTAGGAGTCCTCCTGTTGGTGGAGTTGGAGGTACTAGCGCTGGAGGTGCTAGCGCTGGAGGTGCTGGGTCTGGGGGTGCGTTGCAGTCGCTGCCGCGACGGCCTATCTTCTTGGAGCAGTCGTCGTCGTCGCTACCTGAGCCGACGCCCACTTGTTGTTTCCGCCGCCTGACTCTCCACTACCTGCTCCTGCTCGATACGTCCCGTTTTTCGTCTCCCTGACTGGGCGTCGGGAGCCTGTGTCTTGTGCCGCCTCCCCTGCTCCCTCTCGTGTTACTCGGGAGCATGTTGTCCTGCCGTTACCTCCCCCGTCTTCTCTTCCTGTTATTCTTGACCCTGTGTCTGACCTTGCTCGTGCTGCTTGCCCGACTATCCCTTGTTGTCTAGCCGCGCTTGTGACTGCACCTGCTTCTTCGCCTGCTGCTGCTTGTGCCTTAGTAGCTGAGCTCGCAGGCTTTGCTGCTACTTGCCGCCGTGCCTACCTTGCTGGTCTCTTTTCTGCCTCTTCGTGTCCTCCGTCCGTTGGGGGTGAGCTTGCCCTTGGCTGTGACGTCCTTGAGGACATGCAAATCGAGCTGGAGTACCTGCCGTACCCTCTCTGTCAGAATCCCAACCACTAAACCATTGGGATAAAAAGGACTTGTTAAGTAGCGCGTTAGTGCGCCCAAAACCCCCCAGGACAACGAGCCTGTAACCCTTCCATAGGATCAATCGGGGATCACCAGTGGACCTCTGACACCCCCCCGCACTGGGATGCCCAAAGTGCACACACTGGGATTCGAACCCGAGACCTTCGCTCTGATACCATGTCAGAATCCCAACCACTAGACCATTGGGATAAAATGGCTTGTTAAGTAGTGGGAGAGTGCGCCCATAACCCCCCAGGACAACGAGCCTGTAACCCTTCCCTAGGATTCTGGCACTCTCAGCATCCGGACTCGCTACGTTAAGCCCGGGAGACACCACCCTGCGCATTGGCGGGCTGCTAGGAGGGTGCTGCGCTACCTGGTCAGCTTCGCCTTTGTACGTGGCCACACGGGCCAACACTGCTTGTCTCTTGACCTTGTCTTGTACTTTGATATATAAACCTACATGTTTCTGGTTGCTAGGTCGTAATCATTGTACTGCTTGCATTATTATAAAACTGCATGTGAACTGGCCTTGTGGCCGCTTGCTAGTGCTCAGAGTGCGTGGTGATCTTGAGATCCACACTGAGCTTGCTTTGCTTTGTTTCTTCTCTTGACTGGTCTTGCGACCGCTTGTTGTGTTTGCTATCCCCCACTTCGCCTATGGGGGTGTGTCAAATTATATGTTTACTGCTATCTAGGCTGTAGTGGGTTTAGGCTTAGGGGGTACA